TGGAGTGGAAGTGGAGCAGCTGAGACTCAAACCGGCAATACCAATACAGCAGGCAGCGGCTTTACCTGCTACGCCACAGCACCAGCCCCAATATTGTTCTTAAGAGATGAGGAAATTGAGGCCTACAAAGGTAAAGTCACTTAATCAAGGTCACCAAGCTAGGAGGAACCCAGATCTGCCATGCAACTCTCCGTGATGCACCTCCAGTCAGGAAATCATGAATCTCAAATGAGACAGCTGCAGGTCACCGAGCCTGGGTAAAGTCACCCAGGAGTCCCATGAAGTTCCTGAGAACAATGATCAGGGAAATTAAGCAGCTTGGGAAAGGTTTCTAGAATGCAGTGCCACCAGCCTGAGACACAGCTACCCTTGCCAACTCTCCCAGATTAGAACAGGTTCTCTTGGACTCTCTCCAAGTGCCTCTGACTAACAGAGAAAAGTATTTTTCCATTGCAAACACTGCAGGCAAGCACCAGACTCCTGAGATGGGAGGGCAGACAACACATCCCATTTTCCCATATAGACAATCTGTAAAGTTATGCTGACACCATGTGACTGCCCCAGCTAGGCACCCACCACCGGGGATGTCAGGTGTGGGCAGCATTTCTCAACTCTGACACTACTAACATGTGGGGCCGGATAATTCTGTGCTGTGGGAGGCTGTCCTTGCATCGCATGATGCTTAGTGGCGACACTGGCCTCCACTCACTAGAAGCCAGTAGCACCCCCACCCCACCCCACGCACCCCACTGTGACAGCCAAGCATGTCTCTCTAGCCATTATCAGTGTCCCCTGAGGGACAGAATCGTCTCTGGTCTAGAGACTACGAAGAAGAGGGAAAAAATGCAGTGCTCTACCTTCCTCTCATCCCATCCCATCCCATCTTTCTGGCCAGATGTAGGATCACCGTACATAAGCCCTTTTTAAATTACTATCACAACTGATGCCTCCCACAATGAGCAGCCTGTATGCTGATGTGGCCTGCAAGCATGTCCCAGGAACATTCACCACTGGAGCTTGTGAGAACAACTAGAGTCAAATAACTCCTTGTTCCATTAATGAGCTGCTTCTGACCCTGTGAGGAAATCTTGTTCCCATTAATGTGAGCGCTGAGTCTGATTAAATGAAAGCCCTGGGTGTTTCTCTCAATGACAATGAGCCAGGGCAAGGGCTTCCATAGCTGCTAGAAGGAAGACAAAACTGGTGAATCAAATGGCAAGAGGATCCAATTTACCCAAAATTCAGCACAACTCAAACATCCCAGCTTTAAGCCATTCTGGACTTAGGAGAAAGGAGAAAGTGACAATGTACATAAACAAGCGATCTGAATTAACAAGTTAATTAAACAGCTGAAACGTTACCAAAAAATCCTGCTCTCAAGTGGAGGTGGAAGCCTGAAGCTGAGCTCCAGAGCAGCTGGGGTGACTCAGACAGTCAGGGACGTGGGTTCCAACCTCCCACCCCCAGGGCTTGGCTGCTGCGACTCCGCCTCGTCTACAGAGCTTCAATGCTAAAGTCAAAGCAGCATCTTTATGTCTTTCACTCATCAGCTATGTAAGTAGTAAAGGGTTTACTGAAAAACTCAGACAAACTCACTATCGTTTGGTAGTAAGTGTATTTTACTGCAATGTAATTCTTTGAAGACTGACTATGAAACACCTTCCTGTTCACACCTAGTTACTCAGACTACTGCTGGTTTCCTTGCTACTTTTGCAATTTGTACTTGGCTTCACTGTTGCCCACTCATAGCAGAATGCTCTGAGATTTCATTACAGATTTGTCTCCCCGAGTGGGTTAAGGACAAGACTTATGTCTAGCACAAGGCATGCTACATAAACAGACTTTCATCATTTGCAGCCTGGATAGATAGGATAGATGGACCGATGGATGGATGGATGGACCGACAGAAAACTTTTCCATCTCTGTATTCTTAAGACTTAAGCCTACCTACACATTCTAGTGAGAAGGCATGGCCCCTGTCTTGTCTCTTTCATTTCTCCAAGGACTAGAGCACATGGCTCAACAGGTGGCCAACAAACACCTACTGACTGGACTCCTGAATCCAAAAAGACAATCTGAAGACTTTTGTTCACGAACCAGTGAGTCCCCAGACAGAGGTCATACATCGTAGCTGTCTATCCTGCCTTCTGTGCATTTGCCTATGCTCAGCCTCTTTTAACCAGAAATAATCTGACACAAGAAAGCTGGGAATATTCTCCAGTAATAGCAGAGACAAGAAGTGAGTGAGGCTAATGCAATGCTTCCCTCTTGGTTTATCATCTGGAGGAAAAGGCAGATATCAGCAGTTACACAAACGAGCAGCTTCCCTGTTCAGTGAGTCTCTTTAAGTAAGGTCTCTGTATGAACCCAACTTCAAGCACTCTGAACCTCTTTGAGGAAAGTCATGATTTCCCCCCACGTGAATGACCGGGTTTCCTTACAGTCTCCTCTGAAGAGATAATGAGGAAAGTTTATTATACGCCTTCCTCTACTCCAAAATGATCACGAAATTGTTTTAAAGGTCAGTTAAAAGTATCATAGATACACAAGTCTGCATTGAGTAAAAACATGTAGCATGGGGCCAGCACAGTGGCATAGTGGGCTAAGCCTCCACCTGCAGTGCCAGCATCCCATATGGACACCAGTTCAAGTCCCAGCTGCTCCTCTTCTGATCCAGCTCTCTGCTATGGCCTGGCAAAGCAGCACAAGATGGCCCAAATGCTTGGGCCCCTGCACCCACGTGGAGACCGGAAGAAGCTCCTGGCTCTTGGCTTTGGATCAGCCCAGCTCTGGCCGTTGCGGCCATTTAGGGAGTGAGTCAGTGGATGGAAGACCTTTCTTCCATCTCTCCCTCTGTAACTCTGCCCCTCAAATAAATAAATAAATCTTTTTTTAAAAAAATAAGTGCAGTATGTATGACTTACCAAGGATAACTGGAGCTGACCAAAATGCTGCAAAATCCAGAAACTCCTGGAATCTCAATCATGGAGTATTTGGGAGACTAAAGATGTATGTGTAGCTAGCAAGTAGGACAGGAGCAGACAAGGGCACTCAGGGCTTCTCAGAACAGATCTCAAGAATTACAGTCATAGCTAGTATAGCATGTTCCTCAACCCAAGGGCTCCACTCTCCTCACCAACTATTTACAATGTGCTTGGGTTACTCACAGAAGAAAAACACTGTCAGCATCAATATTTAGCAGCATTTTTAAAACACAATTTGTTTCACGAATAACAAGTTTACTTATGCCATTAGTCTAGTTTTTTTTAAAAAAAGGAATTATAAAATTATTAGGGGAAGGGAGGAACTCTATAAATTAGCAGGAGCTCTAGGAGGGCAGGGATGAAGAGATCACAAAAAACAAACTTCATGGGATCAGCATGGTGGCATAACAAGTAAAGTAGCCACCTGCAATGCCAGCATCCCATGTGGGCGTGCCAGTGCGTGACCCAGCTGCTCCACTTTAAATCCAGCTCCCTGATAATGACCTGGGAAAAGCAGCAGAAGAGGGCCCAAGTGTTTGAGCCCCTGCCACCCACATGGAAGACCCACATGAAGCTCTTGGCTCTTGGCTTCAGCTTGGTCCAGTGCTGGTTGTTGTGACCATCTGAAGAATGATCCAGTAGATAGAAGATTTCTCTCTTTCTCTCTTTCTCTCTCTCTCTCCCTCCCTCCCTCCCTCCCTGTTTCTCCCTCTCTGTAACTCTGACTTTCAACATAAATAAATAAATCTTAAAAAAAAAAAAGTCAAAGGCAGGTTTTGTGGCACAGTAGGTTAAGTCACTGCTAACAATACACACGTCCCATATAAGAGTACAGATTCCAGCTCATCTGCTTCCAGTCCATCTTCCTGCTAATGTACCTGGAAAGGCAGTTTGATGGCTCAAGCCCCACCCCCCACTCCCCACATAGGAGACAGACAGAGTTCCAGACTCCAGGCTTCGGCCTAGCCCAGATCCAACTGTTGAGGGCATTTGAGGAGTGAACTAATGGATGGAAGATTTCTCTGTGTGTGTGTGTGTGTGTGTGTGTGTGTGTGTGAAGGCTGGGGAAGGTGAACTGTCCTACAGGCAACATGAAGACTCAGAGGAAGATGAGGACGCCAAAAGCTGCATGGCATGATATGTCACCATCTCAGGGAACACATGAGATGTCTGAATCAATGCACATAGTATGTTAGCCAATCCAAGTTTAAATCAGAATACTATGCCAGCCAGCGCCGCAGCTCACTAAGCTAATCCTCCGCCTAGCAGCGCCGGCACACCGGGTTCTAGTCCCGGTTGGGGCGCCGGATTCTGTCCCGGTTGCCCCTCTTCCAGGCCAGCTCTCTGCTGTGGCCAGGGAGTGCAGTGGAGGATGGCCCAGGTGCTTGGGCCCTGCACCCCATGGGAGACCAGGAAAAGCACCTGGCTCCTGGCTCCTGGCTCCTGCCATCGGATCAGCGCGGTGCGCCGGCCACAGCGCGCCGGCCGTGGCGGCCATTGGAGGGTGAACCAACGGCAAAGGAAGACCTTTCTCTCTGTCTCTCTCTCTCACTATCCACTCTGCCTGTTAGAGAAAAAAAAAAAATAACAGATTACTATGCCAGCTATGATTCAAAATAATGCTCCTGCCTCAATCTTGGAATACTTATCTTTAACTTAACATTTTCGCTTGTTTTTAATTTAGACTCAGGTGGAAATGCAAATACAACCAACTCTTCAGCTATGACAAGGCAAGGACTGCCCAACAATGTGGGCAAATTTCTGGGCAATACTTGTTGCAATGGACTCTTTCTCAAAACCTCTTAGAACCTGAAGAAGTTAACTTAGCCCAGCTATCTTTTGGGGTACAAACCTGTGATCCAAAGAGGAAAAGCCCAAAGCCACATATCCGACTGGTGGTAGAACTAGACCTCAGGGCCTCCCCTTTCTAGTCCTTAATTCTTTTCATCAATAAAAAATCCTTAATCCTACCCATTCATGTCTGTTTAGACAGCTGTCCCTCTGATGCTGCCTCACCTGTCTGAGCAACCAGGTGTGTCCACCCACTCCAGATGGCAGTGACCTTTTCATTCTGAAAACAATGCACGTCTATTTTCTGAGGCACAGGAAGGAAAGCAGCTTGGGTAGCCAGTTGCCCATGCTTGTTGCTTCCCCAAACATACAGTTCTCCTGCATCTGAAATAAACAGAAGGGAAACAAGAGGTGGAGACACATTAGTCCAAAATAATGGAAAATAACACGTGTGAAGAAGACGTTAAAAGAACTCATTTTATACTTACACTACAATGTTGAGTGCAGCCAGGCAGATTACAAAATTCATGTACAGCATAATAACACACAAGATGTTTAAAAATTCTATACTTGGGAAATAAGGCCAAACAGTCTTAGTAGTTTAAGGACTAAGAATGTATGATTATTCTTCATTTACGCATTCAACAAATATTTATTCAATATCTGGCACGTGTGAAACAGTTTTCTCTATTTTTCTACATTTTAAAATATTTGCTCACGTTCCCTTTTGTTAGGAAATAATGTTTCGAGTTATAAAACGACAGGTTAAAAGACAAGGGTGGGCGTCCGGCCTAGCTGCTGTGAGGCTGACTGAGACGCTTACGTCCCACACTGAAGAGCCTGAGTTTGATTCCTTGCTCTGACTCCTGATCCCAGCTTTGTGCTGCTACAGATCCTGGAAGGCAGCAAGTGATGGTTCAAGTAGTGAAGTCCCTGCCACTCATGTAGCCACACAGGAGACCTGCATGAGCTCCTGGACCCCAGCTTTGGCCCTGGCCCAGGCATATGGGGAGCTAATCAACAGATGAGTGGCCTCGTGCTTGCTTGCTCGCTCTCTCTTTCCCTTTCTCCAACTCCTTCCCGCTTGAATAATCAAATATAAGCAAATATATATTATTTGTGCTTAAACTTTTTGTTTTTAATTCAAGAGGCAGAGACAAAAAAAGCTCCCATCCACTGGTTAACTATCCAAATGTCCAGAACAGCTGGGACTCAGCCAGGCCAAAGCCAGGGACCAGAAACTCAACCCAGGTCTCCCACATGGGTAGCAGGAATCCAACGACTTGAGCACACTGCCTCCCAGAATCTACATTAGTAGGAGGCTAGAGCCAGAGTCAGAGCCAGAGCCAGGTATCAAACCCAGAAACTCCAACATGAGATGTGGGCATCTTAACCACTAGACTGAACTAAACATCTACCCCCATCCTTTAAACTTTTTAAACATACCACTATTTCACTGCATGTTCTCTTTAGCAGAAAATACAATGTAATCACATCACATCTGTGTGACATTTTAGTTCATTTCAACCTCACAGTAATCCTATGATATAAGCAGGAATGTGACTGACTGACACGGTGATCTAATAGAAAAAGAACAAATTCCAAGTCAGGGGATTCTGGTTTCTATTCCTGGATCTGTTAACTAACTGTTGACCTTGGACAAATCACTCACTACAAACCTTAGCTTCACCAGCTGAAAATTCGAAGGGAAGGCAATTGGCCTACAAGAGCAGACAAAATGACTGATGACATTGGTAACAAGAGTGACTGGCAGGTTCTGCTGTGGCAGACCAGAGAGCCCATGCTTGTCTAAAAGCCATTCAAGTTCAAACATTTTTTTAAATGAAAGCCAAATGGAGCCAAGGGTTATCATTTAGCCTGTGGATTGTCAGTTTTTAACATCTCAGAGGAGCTCTAAAAGGTTTTTTAACCTAATATTCTAAGGTTCTGCAACAGTACTGTCCAATACAGTAATCATTAACCAGGCACTGCTACTGACATTTGAAATGTGGCTATTCCAAATTGAGGGACTTCATAAGTGAGCAACACAAAATGAAGTACAATGTCCTAGTGCAAAAAAAAAATCTAGCTTATTAACAGTTTTCATCTACTTCATGTTGAAATAATATTTTGGGTAAACTGGGCTAAAAAGTGTATTATTAATTTCACTTGTTTCATTTTACTTTTTGAAAGGTGGTTGATGTTATATTTCTGTTAGCACAGCTCTAGAAGATAATCAAGGTTAGAAGATGTTAAATGACTTCTCAAGATCACAAGGTTAATATGGAGTCAAATGGGAATTAAAAAATTAGAAACCAGGTCTGCTTCCACTGCATTTTGTGATATCCCAATAAAGCTCTTTAAAAAAAAAAGATTTATTTATTTACTTGAAAGGCAAAGTCAGAGAGAGAGAAGGAGAGACAAAGAGAATCTTCCTTCCACTAGTTCACCCCCAAAATTTCCATAAAAGCCAGGGGCTGGGCCAGGCTGAAGCCAAGAGCCAGAAGCTTCTTCCAGGTCTTCCACGTGGCAGGCAGTGGCACAAGGACTTGGGTCATCTTCTGCCACTTTCCCAGGCACATTAACAGGAAGCTGAATATGAAATGGAGCAGCCAGGACGTGAACCAGTGCCCATGTGGGACACCAGCATCACAAACAATGGTTTCAACCACTGCACCACAGCACCAGCCTCCCAATAAAGCTTTATAGCACTGCCCTCCATAGGGCAGTCTAGAATATTCCCCAAAATCAGTCAAAAGCCAAAAAGGATCATTAAAAGGCATCAGACCAAGTTTCAGGAGTCCTAGTTCAAGTCCCGTCTGCTACATATGGCTTCATATTCTGGGCCTGTTCCCTCAACTTCTTGTCACTCAGGTGATCGATCCCACAGTACTGACACTCTGCAGGTCTATGAAGTAACCTTGGTATATTTCACACACAGAGAAAGAGGGCAAACTCAGGGTGTGTGAACTATAAGAACCTCTACCAGAGCAAAGACGCCCCCTCAGCAAAGGATCACTGCTTTAAATGGACTAGGGAGCCATGAAGATGTCACTGACGGAAGCTGTGTTGGTATCAAGACTTCGTTTTTCTTAGGATGTCTAAACCATCTTGTTGAAAGACAAACTGCCTTCCACATGAGGATCTTGCCTGGTTGCATCAGCAGGTAAAATTAAGCTCTGCTGCAAAGCCAAGTAGTTACATAATCAACAATGACTCCGGAGAAAAGGTCTAAAGAGCACTGAGCAAAATCAAGTGTGTGACTGCTTGAACCAGACAAGGGGAGAGAACTACTTTCAAAACATCAAAAACCAATTTGCTTTGGGACCACACAAAAGCACTAAGTTCATTAAATAAAAACTTAAAAATAAATAAATAGCACTAAGTTGTGTATTTCTAAATGGTGAACTTCATATGCAAATTACATCAATAAAAAAGGCAACATCTTTATATGAAAACACCACAATAAAAGTGGCCCACAGGTCAAGTAGTAAATGCATTTATCACATTTTTTTAAGAGATTGATGCTAGCAAGCAATTAGGCAATCTCTAGGTTTACATAACATCAGTCATTTCAAATTAATTAGAACACAGGAGAAAAACTTCCTAGTCTATTATCTTCAGGGGAAAAAAATGCCTTCCCCACCCCTCATTGACTATGGGCATGAACAAGTCACTTCTCTAAAAGCAGACAGGTGGACTGCATGCCCAGTGAAGTCCTTTATAACTGTCATTCATTTCAACTCAACATTCTTAATAAATATATAAATCCACCTAAGACATAAGCTAACAGCAGGTATTTATCTTGTCAGTCGGTTGCTTTAAACTCATTAAATTATAAATTATCTCTACCTCAGATTTTGGTTTTTCTGCTCTGCAAACAGTAACAGCTCCTCAATTGGACTGCATTGCAAATCTGATGTTAAAAAATGCATGCTGCGCTGGCGCTGTAGCACAGAGGGTTAACGCCCTGGCCTGAAGCACCGGCATTCCATATGGGCGCCGGTTCTAGTCCCAGCTGCTCCTCTTCCAATCCAGCTCTCTGCTATGTATGGCCTGAGATAGCAGTAGAAGATGGCCCAAGTCGTTGGGCCCCTGCACCCACATGGGAGACCCAGAAGAAGCTCCTGGCTCCCGGCTTTGAATCGGCACAGCTCCAGCCCTTGCGGCCATCTGGAGAGTGAACCAGCGGATGGAAGACCTCTCTGCTGTCTTTCAAATAAATAAAATAAATATTTTTTTTTTTTTGACAGGCAGAGTGGACAGTGAGAGAGAGAGACAGAAAGGTCTTCCTTTGCCGTTGGTTCACCTCCAATGGCCGCCGTGCTGTGGCCGGCACACCGCGCTGATCCGATGGCTGGAGCCAGGTGCTTATCCTGGTCTCCCATGGGGTGCAGGGCCCAAGCACTTGGGCCCTCCTCCACTGCACTCCCGGGCCACAGCAGAGAGCTGGCCTGGAAGAGGGGCAACCGGGACAGAATCCGGCGCCCCGACCGGGACTAGAACCCGGTGTGCCGGCGCCGCTAGGCGGAGGATTAGCCTATTGAGCCATGGCACCCGGCCTAATTTAGGCCTGTCAAAAAAAAAAAAAAAAAAAGATTTATTTTATTTATTTGAAAGACAGCAGAGAGGTAGAGAGAGACAGAGAGAGGTCTTCCATCCGCTGGTTCACTCCAACGGCAAAGGAAGACCTCTCTCTGTCTCTCTCTCTCTCTCTGTCCACGCTGCCTGTCAAAAATAAAAATAAAGTGATGAACCTAACTTAAAAAAATAAATAAATAAATAAAATAAATCTTAAAAAAATGCATGCCACCAACAATTTACATGTCTTATTTACACGTGAATTTCCACATAAAACACTAAGTAGGGAAGTTTCTCCTTTTTACTTCAAATTTTAATACATTCAACTCTGTGTGAGAGGCCTTACTAAAAAAATCGCTCAGAGGTATTGTCACCAATCTATCCCTGCCAGCAGGGGTCACAGCAATCTGAGTCAAAGGGAAGAGACAATTGTCTCCACAGAAAAAGTCATGAGGAAGTTCACACTGTATTGGTTGGGTATGTCAAACAGTTGTACAGACACACAGCCAAACAGAGAAATAGAATGTAAGAGAAAAAGACAGATTAGACCCAAAAATGGTCAAACTAAAGAAATGGAACAGAGAGAGAAATTAGAGAAATAAGAGAGTACTTCAAAAAGTTTGTGGAAAATGGAATTAAAAGATGAACTTATTTTCTAGTTAAAACATTTTTGAAATCTATACAGTTTTTTTCATAATGTGCATTTATTCAAGAACTTTTTGAAAAATTCTCATGTACATGGACTTCTAAAGTTCTTTGCAACAAAATAAACACCTCGGGGCTGGTGCTGTGGTATAGTATGTAAAGCTGTTGCCTGTGGCACCAGAATCCATATGAGCACAGGTTTGAGTCATGGCTGCTCCTCTTCTCTGCTATGGCCTGGGAAAGCAGTAGAAGATGCCCAAGTCCTTGGGCCCCTGCACCCGCATGGGAGATTCAGAAGAAGCTCCTGGCTCCTGGCTTCGGATCGGCCCAGCCCCAGCCATTGCAGCCATTTGGGGAGTAAACCAGTAGATGGAAGATATCTCCCTCTCCTTCTATCACTGCCTTTTAAATAAATACATGTTTAAAAAAAAAAAAAAAGTAAAGTAATCTAAGATCAGACCAGTGGCACCTCAGAATTCTGGCTCTGAAGTCTATGACTTGCATCTGTATCACGGAATCAGCGGTTTGGGAAGTCACATACAGAATTCTGAATAATATGTGAAACTATGAAGAGCTAGTACCCACCACTTAATGAAGCTGAATGATCCAAGCCAGCAAGAACACATATTGCTTTGGAATTCTCTAGGCCTACAAAAAAAAAAAAAAAAAAAAGTTTTCTTTTGAATCACATTCCATAGAACAAACTGGGCAGAGAGCCAGTACCACCTGGGTCAGGGGGAGAAACTGCCAACCAGTGCAGGTGGGTCTGAGCCGGTAGCACTGGCCAAGAAGACAGCTGGCACAGTAGGGATATTGCTAAAACACCAAAGAGTGAACAAGTAAGTAAATATATTGAGGGTAAAGGAGATAGGTTCCTCACTATCTCAAGCATTGGCGAATCAGTGCAAATCATGGTTTCCAGTAAAGGTAGATAAGCGGATATAAGTGTGTGTATGTAAAAATATGTGTAAGTGCATGCATATTTCCTAGTTCTGTCTGCTCAGTGGTCTGGAAGCAATGATATCTCATGCATTCAGCTATTATCACGTGCAAGTACTTAAATACAAACCCAGGTCTCCTAACAACAAACAGAACTAGACTTTGAAATGGTCTTACATCTCCAAATCTAGCACTTTTCCTCCCTTACTTATGTGGTCTTCACTGACAAAGTAAAATCCCAATCAACCTTCTAGAAGTTGGCATAACCTGTCATAACAGGTGTCCTGTCTTGCACTTAAATGCAGTCTTACTCTGTAACTCTTTTCTCTCATACTTCTAGCTGATTAACTAGCCTCTTAATAAAATGTCCTCACACCTTCAAGTACCCTGCAGAATGACAAAAAGGGGTCGGCACTGTAGCGCAGTGGGTTAAACTGCCACCTGCAGTGCCAGCATTTCATATGGGCATCATTTTGAGTCCCAGCTGTTCCACTTTTAATCCAGCTCTCTGCTATGGCCTAGGAAGGTGGTAGAAGATGGCCCAAGTGTTTGGGCACCTGAACCCACATGAAAGACCCGAAAGGAGCTCCTGGCTCCTGGCTTTAGATTGACCCAGCTCCAGCTATTGCGTCCATTTGGGGAGTGAACCAGCAGATAGAAGATTCTCTCTCTCTCTCTCTTTCTCTCTCTCTGCCTCTGCTTCTCTGTAACTCTGCCTTTCAAATAATAAATAAATCTTTAAAAAAAAAAAAAAAGACAATAGAGCAAAGAAGATGCTTCCAGTCACATTCACCAGAGAGGAAGAACTCACCCCCTAGTGGCCAGGTGAAGAAGAGACAGCCAGGGATCAAACTCCAGGATCTGTAGCAATGAGGGAGGTGAAGATGGGAGAAGGAAAAGGACTTTGAGGGCAGGAAGTTGATGACCCATTCAAATTCTCTTCAGAAAACTCTAACTCAACTCTGAATCTAAGCTGTGCCCCAAGTGAAACCCAAACAGCTTGTTTAAATCAAATAAAATTTAAAAAAAAATTTTTTTTTTCATTCCTTCCAGATACAGTTCCTGTGCTAAAATAGAATGACACATAGCTCATTAAAAAGCTCATAATCTTTGGCATATAAGAAAACATATAAACAATTCAAAGTAGTACAATACACTGTACAACCAATGCACATGGAGAAAATGCAATGGAGGCTAGAAGAGGAGCTAGAGCTTGAAAAATTTTAGGAGTTTCCCAGAGGGAACAGAAAGAAAAAGACATTTCAGGGAGAGGTCACAGTTTGCCCACAGCATAAAAGAATGGGAAAGCTGGATACACCTAGGGATCAGTGCGTATCTTAACAAAGAAGGAAACTATTTGGGAAGTATAAGCTTATGCTATGAAGAGTTTTTAAAAATATTTATTTTATTTATTTAAAAGAGTTACAGAGAGGGAGCAAATGAGGGAGTGAGTGAGGGAGGGAGGGAGGGAGGGAGAGAGGGAGAAAGGGAGAGAGGGGGAGAGAGAGAGAGAGAAATCTTTCATCTACTGATTCACTCCCTAAGTGGCCATGATGGCCAGGGCTGGGCCAGGCTGAAGTCAGGAGCTTCATCAAAGTCTTCCATGTGGGTGGCAAGGGCCCAAGCACTTGGGCCACCTTCTGCTGATTTTCCCATGCCATTAGCAAGGAGCTGAGAGCTGGATTGGAAGTGGAGCAGCTGGGAAACAAACCAGCACCCAAATGGGATGCTGATGCTGCAGGCAGAGGCTTAACCCACTACGCCACAAAGCCAGCCCCTATACTATGAAGGTTTCCAAGTAGACTACCTGTCCAGCATCTAAAGCCTCCTTCTCCCTTGCTAAGAGTACACTACCCAACTCAGCCCCTGAGCTTCAGGAAAACTAACACCAACCCCAGCAAAAGCAAACAGCCTCTAGGACTTAGAAGAAACAGAACAACCCCAACACCCATGTACATCGTTCCCACGCAGCCTCCCTTCCCTCCCCCACCCCTTCTCTCCACTCTCAAAAATCCTTCATTTGTACTGAACTACAGAAGAGTAGTCAGAGGTCTCCTGCCCAGGTTTCCTGGGGCACAAAGGAAGAAGGTGTGAGAGGAAGAACGGGAGAAGGGAAGGAGATGGAGACCTGATTCTATACTCACAGAAAAATCTACAGAAGAGGACAGAGCAGGGACAGAGGGAGAAGAGGGAGCAGGGGAGGCGAAGAGACAGAGACAGAGGGAGGGAGGGAGGGGAAAAGGGAAGGAGAGAGGAGGGAAGGAGAGAAGAAGATGAAGACACAGAGACAAAGACAGGACAAACACAAAATTAACCAGCAAGCTAAGGACAGAATATTTATTACCTACTCCTCAAGTTGTTATGTAAAGAGAGCTCCCTTCGGGAATACTTCCCCGCCCTTCTCTCTACATCCTCACTCACTTGTGCTTCCCTTCTAGGAGAAGGAACTGGGCATGTGCAACACAGTTCGTCTGAGGTCTTCCTTTGGGGTCTGCCTGCCCATGGAGAGAGTGAATCCTCACATCCTCCTGGCCATGCAGCAAGCTTAGCAGGGCTGACTAGAGATGTAGCTGCCGTAGCACCTGCTGGGTAAATTCAGCCTGGGTTTCAGAACTCAGAGGCTCATTATTACTACACATTGTTTCCAAACACCTAAATCATGTTTTCCAAACCAGATTTTAATAGTTCTATAATAAAATTACCACTTTAATCTCCCTGACTTATATCTATCTCTCAATGGGTTTCAAACTCTGCCAGCAGAGAATTGCTTTGACTGGGCCCACAAAAATCCCACCAAGACTAACAGACCAAGCAGCAAGGAAGCTAGAAAGACCAAAAAACAGAAAAAGTGAGATATCCATTTACCCATTCTCTTCACTTTCTGACAAAGAACAAATAAGACTAAGAAGATATAAGGGTCCCACCTGTCACTCTGCTTGGCTCCTTTGCTGTCAAGAACAAGGGGAGAGTCTTCCCAGGGCACAACCGTCGTCCAGATGATGCCAAACCAGTCCCCCACTGGAACACCATGCCACTTACTTCCCAGTGAAGTAGAGGAGAAAACAGAAAAAGCACATCAGGAATGACCAGAAAAAGCATATCAGGAATGGCCAGATTTCTCACTGAACCTCACTGCAATGGGAAATTCACAATTCATCCTCAAATAACCTAAGTATTATGAAAAAGTTCAATTGCTTCAAAGGTTCTTAGGACTGATCATTGAGATTACCATCAAGCCAATTACAAATCTAATCTTCAGGGCAATCTAAGGCCATGAAAGTAATTCCAATGTAGTAAAATTTCCTCCAAAAAGTTCTAAGATATGGGGCCAGCACCGCGGCTCACCTCGTTAATCCTCTGCCTTGCAGCGCCAGCATCCCATATGGGCTCCAGGTTCTAGTCCCAGCTGCTACTCTTCCAGCCCAGCTCTCTGGTGTGGCCCGGGAGTGCAGTGGAGCATGGCCCAAGCGCTTGGGCTCTTGCACCCGCATGGGAGACCAGGAGGAAGTACCTGGCTCCTGGCTTCAGATCGGCACAGCGCTCCAGCCATAGTGGCCATTTAGGGGGTGAACCAATGGAAGGAAGACCTTTCTCTCTGTCTCTCTCTCACACTGTCTATGACTCTACCTGTCAAATAAAATTTAAAAAAAAAAAAAAAAAGTTCTAAGATATCCAATCCAGAGTCAAATCATTAGAAGGACACCTTGTTTGGGATAGACCTGCAAGGAAAACTCAGACTCCAGACAACTGGAAAAGAATGTGGAAGGTCATCAAGGCCGTTGCCCACGTTTACTGGATGAGAAAACTGAGTCCCTGAATAGAGACTACGATTTCTCCAAGGCAACACAGGGAAGCAGTGATAGAGAAAATGCTAGGACTCAGTTCTCTTCATACCTAATGCAGTGCCTTCTCCATTATACCAAGATGAATTCAAAGAGTCCTAATTGCCAAATAAATACACATTTATGATTACAAGATAGCTTCCTAATAGCCATGAGTTCAGTGGAATGGCCTTTTATTTCCATGTCCAGTGACTCTAATTCAGTTTACCCATGGCTGAACTTCATATAACACACAGATGAAATTCTATATATCTGATTTACAGTCAAATGTGCATGTAACTGGGATCCATCAACCAACAGCAGTTCCCCTGTATGTATCTTATAACTAGTAATAGTCCTTTAGGCTGTAAATAGACAAGCCAGTTTTCTGAAAAATAAGCTATCATACTGAACACAATGTGAGCAAAGCACAGTTTTGCAATAAAATACAACTTACAATCTCTTCAACAAATAAATTACAAAGAAAAAAAGAGAAAATTACAGATTAAAAGAGAATTCAGATATCTTAACAACAAAAAAAGAAAAAGAAACCAGGGCAAAAGACTTGAATAGCCATTTCTCCAAGAAGATATATGAATAGACAATAAACACATGACAAGATGTTCAGTATCACCAATTACTGGGGAAATTAAAATCAATACCACTATGAGATACTACCTCACATCCATTTGGATGCTACTATAGAAAAAAAAAAAAGAAGAAAAAGAACAGAACAAGTGTTGGTGAGTCTGTGGTGAAACTCGAATCCACGTATGCTACTGGTGGGAAAGTAAAATGGTACAGTCACTGTGGAAAATGGTATTGCAGTTATCTAAAACATTAAAAATAAAATCATTCTATGATCCCACAAAAATATTTATATACCCATATTCAAATCAGCATTATTTACAATAGCTAATTCATAGAAGCAATCTAAATATCCACAAACAGATGGATAACCAAAATGTTACATATATACACATACACAATAGAATATGATAAACCTGAAGAAGTACAGAAATGCTGGCATATGCTACTCCACAGATGAATCTTAAGACATTATGATAACCGAAATAAGCCAGTCACCAAGAAAGGACAAATACTGTATTACTCCACTTATATGAGACACTCAGAGTTGAAACCATAAAGATAGAAAGTAGAACAGTCATTGCCAGGGATGGGGGGAGAAGGACTGGGGAATTACTGTTAAATGGCCACAGTTTCAGTCTTGAAAGATGAAAAATGTTCTAGACATGGATGGCGGTGATGATTGCACAAAGACATTAGTGGATTTAATACCACTGAACTATACCCTTAAAAATGGTTGATGGGGAGCCAGCACTGTGGTTCAGGGAGTTAAAGTCATGGCCTGCAGCACCAGCATCCCACATGGGCACAGGTTTGAGTCCCAGCTGCTCCACTTCAATCCAGTACCCTTCTACGGCACCTGGGAAAGCAGCAGAAGATGGCCCAAGTACTTGGGGCCCTGCACCCACATGGGAGGCCTGGAGGAAGCTCCTGGTTCCTGGCTTTGGTCTGGCTCAGTCCTGGCTGCAGCAGCCATCCGGGGAGTAAACCAGCAGACCGAAGACCTCTGTCTCTCCTTCTTTCTCTCTCTGTAACTCTACCTTTCAAATAAATAAATAAATCTTTTTAAAAAATGGTTAAGATGATAAACTTTATGCACACATATTTTACCACAATAAAAAAATTTGAAAAGAAAAACTAGGCCGGCGCCGTGGCTCAGTAGGCTAATCCTCCGCCTAGCGGCGCCGGCACACCGGGTTCTAGTCCCGGTTGGGGCGCCGGATTCTGTCCCGGTTGCCCCTCTTCCAGGCCAGCTCTCTGCTGTGGCCAGGGAGTGCAGTGGAGGATGGCCCAGGTGCTTGGGCCCTGCACCCCATGGGAGACCAGGAAAAGCACCTGGATCCTGGCTCCTGCCATCGGATCAGCGCGGTGCGCTGGCCGCAGCGCGCCGACCGCGGCGGCCATTGGAGGGTGAACCAACGGCAAAGGAAGACCTTTCTCTCTGTCTCTCTCTCTCACTGTCCACTCTGCCTGTCAAAAAAAAAAAAAAAAAAAAACACTAAAATTTTTAGAAAGACATTCAAAATTCCTATTAACCAATTTCAATGTAGTAGCCAAATTCAAATCCTAACTCAAACAGTTTTAAAAAAAATATTTTTGACACAATCAGGGAAATTTAAACACTGACTAGATATCTGATGATATTAGTGAATTACTGCTTAATTTTCAGGTTGATGCTGGTATTATAGTGGTTTTCAACCCACTCAAAATGGATTAAAGACCTAAATACTATCAAATTTGACCCAATACCATCAAATTTTAGAAAACATTGGAGAAACCCTGCAAGACATCGGCACAAGCAAAGAGTTCTTGGAAAAGACCTCAGAGGCCCAGGCAAACAAAGCCAAAATTGACAAATGGGATTACAGCAAAGTGAGAAGCTTCTGCACTGCAAAGGAAACCTTCAGCAAAGTGAAGAAGCAACCAACAGAATGGGAGAAATTATGTGTAAACTATACAGTTGATAAAGGATTAATAGCTAGAATACATAAAGACATCAAGAAATTCAACAACAACAAAACAAACAACCCAGATAAGAAATGAGCAAAGGACTTAAACAGACATTTTTCAAAAGAAGAAATCCAAATGGCCAATAGATACATGAAAAAATGCTCAGGATCACTATCTGACAAGGAAATGCAAATCAAAACCCCAATGAGGTTTTACCTCACCCCCATTAGAATGGCTTTCATACAGAAATCAACTCAACAAATTCTGGTGAGGATCTGCAGAAAAGTTACCCTATCCACTGTTAGTGGGAATGTAAACTGATAAAGCCACTATGGAAGACAGTATAGAGATACCTCAGAAACCTGAATACAGACCTACCACATGACCCAGCCATCCCACTCCTGGGAATTTACTCAAGGGAAATTAAATCAGCAAATGAAAGAGTTATCTGTACCTCCATGTTTATTGCAGCTCAATTCACATTAGCTAAGATATGGAATCAACCCAATGCCCATCAACTGAAGACTGGATAAAGAAATTATGGGATATGCACACCATGGAATACTACACAGTGGTAAAAAGAAAAAAAAAAAAAAAGAAATCCTGTCATTTGCAACAAAATGGATGAAACTGGAAAGCATACTTAGTGAAATAAGCCAGTCTCAAAAGGACAAATACCATATGTTCTCCCTGATCTATGATAACTAATAGAGCACCTAAAAGGTAATCTATATAAGTGAAATTGACACTTTGAGATGCAGTGACTTTGAACAGCCCTTGTCTTGATGGCTAAGGAACAGTTTTGTTTTGTTTTGTTTTCATACTAGTTGAACTTTTTACTTAGTATAGAGTTAATCATATGTGTATAAAGTTAATTGAAAATAGACAATAGGTGCTGGCACTGTGGTGCAGTGGGATAAAGGCCTGGCCTGCAGAGTTAGCATCCCATATGGGCGCTGGTTTGAGTCCTGGCTGCTCTACTTCTGATCCAGCTCCCTGCTAATGCGCCTGGGAAAGCAGCAGAGGATGGCCTAACTTCTTGGTCCCCTTCACCCACGTGGGAGACTCAGAAGAAACTCCTGGATCCTGGCTTCAGATTGGCTCAGCTCCAGCCATTGCAGCCATTTGGGGAATGAACCAGTGGATAGAAGATTGATCTCTCTCTCTTTCTCTGTCTGTCTCTACCTCTCTCTGTAACTCTGTCATTCAAATAAGTAAAATACATCTTTCAAAAAAGAAAAAGAAAACAGACCTTAGTAAAAAAAAAAAAAAAAAAAAAAAAAGAATAGGAATAGGGGAGGGAGGAGGAAGAGGGGTGGGAGGAGGGGTGGGAGGGCAGGTATGGTGGAAAGAATCACTATGTTCCTAAAGTTGTACTTAGGAATTGCATGAAGACTGTATTCATTAAATAAAAAGTCTCTGGGGAAAAAATTAAGTATTACAAAAAACATTACTTATCTTTTAGAAATGCAAGCAAAAATATTTACAGATTAAATGGGAGAGAGGGCTTATAATTAATTTAATCAAGGGCATGATGGAAGCTGTTACTTTGTAATTGGATAAAAATGAACATATATGACCACCAATTCATTCATCAGTGTTTTACAAACCATGTATCTGATGGGCAGTTAACTTCTAGAGTATATGAGGAATTCCTATAACTCAATAGCAAAAAAATTATAAATAGAAAAGGACTTGAACATACATACAACTGGCCAAGGGTATACGAAATATGTTTAGGGTCAGCGTTGTGGCACAGTGGGTTAAGCTGCCACCTGCAATGCTGGCATCCCATATGGGCACCAGTTCGTGTCCCAGGTGCTTTACTTCTGATTCAACTCCCTGCTAATCTCCTGAGAAAAACAGCAAAAGAGGGCCCAAGTGCTTGGGCCAGTGCCACCCATATAGGAAATCAGGAAGAAATTTGGCCCAGCCCAGCTATTGCAGCCATCTGGGAAGTGAATCAGCAGATAGAAGATCTCTCTCTCTCTCTTTTTCTCTCTCCCTCTCTCTATGTAACTCTGACTTTCAATAAATAAATCTTAAAAAAAATGTTCAGTAACATTAGTGATAAGGAAAATGCAAATAATAAGATACCATCTCACATCTATAAGAAAACTATTTTTTTTAAGTGTTAGCAAGGATGTGAAGAAATTGGAACCATTGAATACTATGGTGGGAATGCAAAATGATTCAACGGAAAATTACGGAAGTTCCTTTAAAAATTAAAAATAGAACTACACTAAGATCCAGCAATCCCACTTCTGGGTATATTGAAAAGGACTGAAACCAGGATCTTAAAGAGATATCTGCACTAATGTATTGAATGCAGTCAAGCCATGGAAACAGGGCCTGGTGTTGCAGCATAGAAGGTTAAGCTGCCACCTGCAACAGCCACATCCTATATCAGAGTGTGGGTTCAAGTGGCACAGTAAGTTAAGTTGCCACTTACAATGTCCAAATACCATATCAGAGTACTGGTTCAAGTCCTGGCTAGTCTGCTTCCCATCCAGCTTCCTGCGAATGCGTGCTGGGAGGCAGCAGATGATGGCTCAAGTGCTTGGGACCCTGCCACCCACACAGGAGACCCAGATGCAGTTCCAGGTTCCTGGCTTCAGCCTGGCCCAGCCTCAGCTGTGTAGGCATATAGAGTGAACCAACAGATAGAAGATCTCTCTCTTTCTACCTTTGAAGTAGATGAAAATAAATTTTAAAAAGAAATTTAAAAAATAAACTATAATATAAACATTCAATGGAATATTATTCAGCCCTAAAAAAGGAAGGAAATCCTACCACTTGGGATAACGCAGATGAATCTGGATGACATTACTCTAAGTAAAATATGTCAGACACAAAACAAATACACCACCTATCACTTAAACAAGGTATCTATAAAAGTCAAAATCATAGCAGCAGAAAACAGAATATGGTTTCAGGGGGTTGGGGAGTAGGGGAAGCTAAAGTAGTTGTTCAATGGGTATAATGTTTCAGCTATGCTCTATGAGTAAGTTCTAGAGAGTTGTTGGACAACAATGCCTATAGTTATAACAGTTTTGTGTACTTCAACATTTATTAAGAGGGTAGATCTATATCATCAATATTCTAACTACAAACTACAAACACACATATAAACCAAAGGGACACAAGGACACTTTGCGAGGTACTGATTATGTCTGTTATCTTTATTGTGGAGATGCTATCATAGGTAGGTCCAAATCCATCAAACTGTACACATTAAATAGGTGCAGTTCTCCACATACCAACTTTACCTCAATAAAGCTAAAAGACTTTTAATTAATTACAAGGGTCAGTGTTGTGGATCAGTGAGTTAAGCCTCCCTTTGCAATGCCAGCACCACACATCAGAACACCAGTTTGAGTCCTGACTGCACCACTTTGAATCTAGTTTTCTATTCATGTTCCTGGGAAGGCAAAGGATGATGGCATAAGATCTTGGGCCACTGATACCCTGGCTTTGGCATGGTGCAGCCCTGGCACACTGAATCTGGACTTTCAGCCTCCCGAATGGTGAGAAAGTGAATTTCTGTTGTTTAAGCCACCCAGTCTGTGATATTTTGATAGGACAGCCCTAGTAGACTAACACAGTGGTACATCCATAGGAACACTACTCAGAAACAAAAAATAATGAGTTATTGATCCACACAACTTGGATGAATCTCCAGGGAATTATGCTGAATGAAACCCAAAAAGACTATATATTTACTATATAATATAATTTATATATAATATTTTTCCAGTGACTTCCTAGAAATGGGGAACAGGAAATTGTTGGCAGGAACTAGGAAAAAGATAGGGTAGGAAGTGCATGTGGCCATAAAAGGGCAACAGGAGGGGTAATGAATTGGTTCTGTATGTTGACTGGAACAATGTCAATATCCCAGTTGTGCTAGATCACACTATGATTTTACAGGATGTTCCATTCCAGGATGTCAGGAAAAGAATATGTGAGATTGAGTTCATTTTTTTACAACTGTTTATGAATCTACATTTGTCTCAAAAGAAAAAGTTGACTTTTTTTTGCCAGGCAGAGTTATAGACAGTTAGAGAGAGAGACAGAGAGAAAGGTCTTCCTTTGGTTCACCCCCCAAATGGCCACCACAGCCGGCACTGCGCCAATCTGAAGCCAGGAGCCAGGTGCTTCCTCCTGGTCTCCCATGCGGGTGCAAGGCCCAAACACTTGGGCCATCCTCCACTGCACTCCTGTGCCACAGCAGAGAGCTGGACTGGAAGAGGAGCAACCGGGACAGAATCTGGCGCCCCGACCAGGACTAGAACCCAGGGTGCCAGCGCCACAGGCAGAGGATTAGCCTAGTGAGCTGCGGCGCCGGCCTAAAAGTTGACTTTTTTAAAGAACATATCCTCAACACTAAGTCCCAGGAGACCATCTGCTCGGTGCTGCACTGAACTCTTCCTCACCTGGTCTCATCTTCCTCCAGTCCACAACTGGACTCACGTAAGCACTTGAGCCTTGGCTGCCACAGCCGATTAGTACTGTCCTTCAGCCAAAAAGGAGGGAGAGCATAAAAATGAACAAGGGACAGATAACAGTCACTGCTCTCAAATATACCACCTCCCTTCTCCACCTCACACACACGGGACAGTAGACAAACTCATTCAGCATTTGCAAATTAGAAAATAGCAAAATCCACTAGGAAGGCAGTCTCTCCTCAGTCTCTCCATATGTAAAAATTTTACATCATTCTTGGTTGTGAGGATTAAATGAGGGGAACCTAGCACTATGCCTAGAACATAAAAGCCTGGAAAACTTCATTTTATTCCTCCATGCCTACTAAAGGCTTTCCCACGTGACTTATGCCTTATGTTCTATGCCTTATGTTCACCCCTTTTCATCAGAACTATACTCCAGCAAGACCCTGCAATACTCCTTAAAGGGTTTTTCCTCCTATAGCCCAGTTCTTCCTTATTACATGTCTATTTGGAAAACAAAGGCAAAACCATCACCTGTAGCGGCTAACGCATGTCTCAGCCCAGCAGCAACACAGACAACCTTCTCTCTCAGGAGCTGTCAAAATAAAGCAAAGGGCTTAGACCTCAGAATCATCCATCCACAAAATCTGATGTAACGCATGCCCAAATACAATGCAGCAGGGTCTTCCTTATTAGTCTGACTGGTTTAAAGTGCCCCCTCCAACAGCTCCACTCACAAATAACTCTACATTTAGCCCTAAATTAAAAAAAAAAAAAAAAAAGGTCTTTTTAAAATACTATATTTCACAATGCCTGTCAGTGCTGGGCAGGGCTCTCCAAAGTCACCCAGTCCAGGCGTTGATAAGTGTTTTCTGTGAAGGGCCAGATTTTAGTATTTTAGACTTTACAGGCCATATGGCTCCCGTCACACTACTCAGCTCTGGCATTCTAACACAAAAGCAGCTAGACTATACATCAATGAAGGAGTATGGCCTTGTTCCAATTACACTTTATTTACAAAGGGCTCTTAGCTTTCCTGCTCCTGTTCTAGCCCAATCCCTATGCAATGTTAGAAACCCCCCCACAACACCCTGCCAAGTGCTCATCTGACCCCTGCCAAACACCCACCTCCAGTGACATAGGGCTCACCACCGCCCCCCCACCACGTGCCTGTTCCACCTTTGCCCTCTTCCACTTATCTCTTTAGATGTAGCCAGAACTATCTGCCTGAGGCTTTCGACAATGACAACGCTTTCCAAATATTTGAAGACAGTTGTCATGTCCTCTCTCAGACATCTCGTGGTGGTTTTAAAAATAGGTCCTCCACATCTTTGATGCTCCCCCCTTCAAGATGTGGAACTTCACCCCCCTCCTTTTGTGTGGGCCGGACTCAGCGACACACTTGCGATGAAAAGAGCGTGGAAGCAGCGGGTGACTCAGAGACGAGGCGGTAAGGCACTGAGGCTTCCCGCTTGCCTTCGACCCCCACCCCATCACTCCGGGGGGAAGCCAGGTGTCACTGTGAACGCTCCTGCAGAGAGACCCGCAGGACAAGGAATCAAGCCTCCTGGAAGTGGTCCACCCGCCCAGATGAGCCTTCAGAGGCTGCGTACAAACCCAGCCAACATCTCTGCAAGCCCACGAGACAACCCCGGCTGCTCCTAGATTCCCAACCCTCCAAACCTAACAGCAGGTAATAAATGTTTGTTGCTTTGAGCTGCTAATTTTGGGGGTGATTTGTTACACAGCAACAGAGAACTGATGCAGAGCTCTTCTTTAGGCCAAAACCCCCAGTCCCATCAGCCACCACTGGGTTTTTCCCCTTCCTGGTTTCTCTCTCCTAAATATGCTGTTTTTGTTCAACTTCCGTCTTTCAAAGGGAATGTATATGCATCGATCACAGCCCCTGTGGGGCTTTGTCACATTTATTTATTGACAGGTCCACAGTGCCTTTCTGAACTTCAGAACCCACTAAGGCAAGGCCTTTATGTACCTGTATGCCCAGGGCCTAAGCACCAAATCCAGAACAGAACACAACATGCCAGTGCAGTGACCAGTACAGAGGACAGAGTCTGGCCTTCCTTCTTCCAGAGACGTTCTTTTCCTGTCAGTGGAGTCCACAACCACATTAGCTTTGGGGATGCTCAAATCTTATTGCTGATATATAATGTGAACATACTATCTGTCCATCTCAATTTTTTTTCTTACTTTTTTTCTCCCCAAAACTAACTGAAGAGCTTTACATGTGGATTTTATCTCATCAGCACCATTCATCTCCATCTCTTCCTCTCCATCCCCACTGCTCTTACTTTCTTTAGGGCCAAGATTATTTCTTGTCTGGATTGTCAGCAAGAGTTCCCTGAGTAATCTTCCTTCAATCCATCCTACCCTCTGCCCTATTTGGCCCTAATACACTATTCTTACCATCTGTCATATGCTACCACCCTGACTACCCCCTCCCCACCCACATTAGCCTGGCACTTCCACCATTTCCCCATATTCTAACCATACTGAATTGCTTACAGTACCCCAAAGCTCCTGTTTTATGCTTCTACACCCTTGCCTGTACAGTTGCTTCTGTCTAGAAGGCTTCCTTTGCATCCTACTATTCCAAACCAGGTCAACTTCTACTCAACATTTTTTTTTTTTTTTTTGATAGGCAAAGTTAGACAGTGAGAGAGAGACAGAGAGAAAGGTCTTCCTTCTATTGGTTCACTCCCCAAAAGGCCGCTACGGCCAGCGCACCGCGCCGATCCAAAGCCAGGAGCCAGGTGCTTCCTCCTGGTCTCCCATGTAGGTGCAAGGGCCCAAGGACCTGGGCCATCCTCCACTGCTCTCCTGGGCCACAGCAGAGAGCTGGACTGGAAGAGGAGCAACCGGGACAGAATCCAGCGCCCCAACCGGGACTAGAACCTGGGGTGCCGGCGCCGTAGGCGGAGGATTAGCCAAGTGAGCCACGATGCTGGCCTCTACTCAACTTTTAAGACCAGTTTAAGCCTACTCTCATCCACCTTCCCCCAAACAAGAGTGCAGTACTCTCTCTTCAGGGCTACATATGCACCTATCATAGTTCTAACATGGTACTGCCTTTAGGTATGTATGTTTCTGTCATGTACTACAAAACTACAAGACTGTCAAATGCTAGCACAAATCTTACTCACTTTTGTCCTCCCTTCCTAAACACAATGCCTATACATAATAGTTGCCATTTTAAAAATGGGTGGATTTCTATTATATTTCACTCTGGAACATCCCTTCCATTGTTCCATAAGACACAGCCTGTCAAAATTCTTTTTCACTTCCTAATTCTGTCATCCAACATATTTTAACCATTCTTCCTTTTTTTCTTTTTAACTATATGAATTACAATTAAGCTAAATTAATTATAACATATATGTAGATTCTTACAATTTCTCTGCAGTTGGGAGCTACAACAGAGATTACAGAGCCTAAACTTGTTTGCATACCATGAGAACCATTACCCCAAATAACACCATGCAGACCAGTGTCCAAGCTCAGCGAGATGAGAGGAGAAGACCCACGCTCTCGCCAGTGAAACAAATCTCCCACTCTTAATCAAAGTTTAGGGAAATTAGATAGGAGTAGGGCAGCTTAGGTGGTGAAACTCAGAGTCCAGTATATTTTTTTTCAAAATTCCATATTCTTACAGTGATAAGATTAAAATATACTTCACAAAAATGTGTACATTTAAAATATGATGCAGTGAAAAGAACCCTGAACTTGGGCCAAGAGTCTTCCCTAATAGAGCGGTCCAATATGGTAGCAGCTGCACCTGGTCAGTAAACACCTGAAATGGGATTAAACTGAAACATGCTGTGACTAAAATATGTGTATCAGTTCTGAGATTTAGCACAAAGTAAGGAATACAAAATATCACATTAACAAAGTTCATATTGATGACACCTGATATAGTAATAGTTTGGATATACTGGATTAGTTAAGAAATTATTAAGATTAATTTCATCTACATGTTAAAACATGAATAAAACTCGGAAACATCACATGAAGAAAAATAAGTCAGACACAGAAGGCCATGTGCTGTATGATTCCACTTATATGAAATGCCTAGAACAGGCAAATCCAAAGACACTGATAATACATTAGTGGTCACCAGGGGCTGAATGGGGAGTGACTACTATTGGGTACAGTTTCTTTTGGTGGTGATAAAAACGTTCTGTGAAGGGGCCGGCACTGTGGCGTATCAGGTAAAGCTGCCTCCTGCAGTGTCGACATCCCATATGGGCACTGGTTCATGTCTCAGCTGCTCCTTTTTGAATCCAGCTCTCTGCTTGTAGCCTGGGAAGGCAGTGGAAGACCTCTTAAGTGCTTGGGCCCTTGCACCCATGTGGGAGACCAGGCAGAAGCTCCTGGCTCCTGGCTTTGGATCTGCTCAGTAGCCATTTGGGGAGTGAACCAGCAGATGGAAGATTCTTTCTCTGTCTATAACTCTGTCTCTCAAATAAATAAATAATCTGTAAAAGAAAAGGTTCTGTAACTAGATAATGGTGACTGCTACTCAACTCCATGAATATACTAAAAACTATTGAATTATACAATTTTTTAAAAGATTTATTTATTTATTTGAAAGTCAGAGTTACACAGAAAAAGGAGAGGCAGAGAGAGAGATAAAGATCTTCTATCTGATGATTCACTCTCCAGTTGGCCGCAATGGCCGGAGCTGTGCCCATCTGAAGCCGGGAGCCAGGAGCTTCTTCTGGATCTTCCACTCAAGTGCAGGAACCCAAAGACTCGGGCCATCTTCTACTGCTTTCCCAGGCCATAACAGAAAGCTGGATTGGAAGTGGAGCAGCCGGGTCTCAAACCGGGGCCCATATGGGATACCAGCGCTTCAGGCCAGGGTATTAACCTGCTGCACCACAGCATTGGCCCCTGAATTATACATTTTTAAATGGTGAATTTTATGATATGTGAATTATATCTCAATAAAGCTGTTATTTAAAAAATTAAATTCATAGGGGGCCAACACCATGGTGCAGTAGGTTAATCCTCTGCCTGCGGCGCCGGCATCCCATATGGGGGCCGGTTCTAGTCCCAGCTGCTCCTCTTCCGATCCAGCTCTCTGCTGGTCTAGGGAAGCAGTGAAGGATGGCCCAAGTGCATGGGCCCCTGTACCCACATGGGAGACTAGGAAGAGGCTCCAGGCTCCTGGCTCTAGATCAGCGCAGCTCCGGCAGTTGTGGCCATTTGGGGAGTGAACCAATGGAAAGAATACCTTTCTCTCTGTCTCTCCCTCTCACTGTCTGTAACTCTATCTCTCAAATAAATAAAAAATAAAATAAAATATCTTTAAAAAATTAAATTCATCTGTTTCTTTCATTTTTAAGTGGGGCTAACAGAAAATTTTAAATTATATATATGGTTTACATTATATTTTTACTGGACAACACAGGCCTATACCATTTGCCTAGCTTATGTCTTTGGGCAAGTAACTTCTATCTGGATTTATTGCTGGTACTGTTCCTATTATTTCTCACTTTAGAATTATAAGATTTTGTTAATGTCCTTATGAGATGTATTACCCTTATTGTTTTCAGACAAAACTTTACAACGTGTATGAGAACTAACAGAGGTTTTTCACACAACCTAATTCTTCCCAGGAGGACCTACTATTCAACAAATTCTCCTACCCCATGAGTCTTCAGGGTCCCACACAGCCTTGTATTCTGTAATACCCAGGAAACACTTGAAGAGGACATGGGCAAGCTAAGCATCAGGGTCCTCACCTCAACGGGCTGGGGAATCACACATCTTCGAGGTCCGTGAGGAACTCCTAATTGGCCAAAGGAGTTGGAGCCACATGACAGAACTTGACCATTTTCTGAAAAAAAGACGTGTAATTAAATTAAAATCTAAGAAGTAAGATGTCGGTGATCACTGAGCAAATGCTGAAAAGTGAGAGGTGTGAAGGAGCCGGGAGGGGGCAGTGGCGCTCTTGTGATTCAGTCCATCCAGATCACACGTCCTGCTCTCATTCCTCTACGAACGAAAACACTGGGCACCAGGTTCAGTGCTCTGCGCAGGTTACCTCGTATGCTCTCTCATTAATGACAGACTATCTGTGTACAACACTTAGTGCAATGCCTGGTGCTGGAGTGGGAGGATACTTATCCCCCGGTTCTCATGTTTCCATGTGACAGCACTTCCATTATGGTGACACTCCAGGCCTTTCTCCCTGCGCTCCCCATGCTCACTGCACTCACGCAGCCAGCTGGTGAGTCTAGAAGAGAGAGGACAATGCGGCGTGGCACGTCCTCTCAAGCATTCTTGGGTGCCACACAGTAAAGGTTTCCCATGTGGGAAAGGCCTAGAGTTTGGCCCAAATGAGCTTTAGGACCACTTGGCCTCACAATTAACCCTGTGCTCCAACTTAGCTTGTGTCAGTACACAGCTGGTTGCTTGATCTCCAACTCTGACTGCTCTGTGAACCGAAAACTGGGTGTTATTAACGGATTCCCTGCAACCCCATACAGGCCCATGATCAACACTTCATAAATGACAGCTGCCATTTAGAGTCTACTAATTACAATGAAATTCAACACAGAAGAGAAATAGTAACACTTGAGCAGGATTTTAAGGACAGGATAAGAGTTTATCAAACACATAAGAGAGCTGTTTCAGAGAAAAAAAGCATGCACTGCTTGTTATTACTAGAAAGAAAAGTATGGGGGTTAGAGAATAAAAGACAAAGCAACGGAGACAGGAAAGAATTACAGAAAGCCATGTGCTAAAAAGCATGAAATCTGAGGTATGCATGTAAGAACACACAAAGGTTTGAGATAGGAGAGTGACATGGTCAGAGGATGCTCTTGCTAGGACTATGACAAAGAGGGAGCCTGGTCAGACACCACAGATGCTCCCTGAGTCTAGAATGGCCAGTTAGACAGGGCAAGCTGAACAGAGAGTGAGGACTGCTCCAGGCAACAGAAGTCAGCTGATACAGTAACTGCGGCCAGCTGCTCCCAGGAGCATTCCGCATATAACTTTTTGATCCTATTCCTCTACATCCCATCCTGCTACCTGGCTTCACAGAGAACAACAGTTCTGTCCAACAATACTTATGGGGGGAAAAATTTCTTCAGTGGGAGAAAGCTGCCATCCGTGCTATGGAAACTTGTTTCCTCATTATTTCCCCACCACAATGCCCTGGGGTAAACTCTTAGCATCACTGGCCAGCCAGCCTAGGCACCTGGTTACCATGAACTTGTGGGACAGGAAGCAGCCATTAGGAGTGATCTAGTCCATTTCCCAGTTTCTAGTAAAAGTTTTCTAGCCCGATCATAATCTTCCTTTATATTAAAACTTTCCTTTAGGGGCTGGCATTGCGAGCTGTGGGTTACACAGCAGCCACCTGGGATGCCAGCATTCTATATCAGAGTGCCGGTTTGAGTCCTGGATGCTCTACTTCCAATCTAGCTCCTTGATTGTGTGCCTAGGAAGACAATAGAAGATGGCCCAAGTACTTGGGCCCCTGTTCCCCATACAGGAGATCAGGATGGGGTTCCTGCCTTCTGGCTTCAGCTTGGTCCAGACCTGGTTGTCGAGGCCATTTGGAGAGTGTATTGGCAGAAGTTAGATCTCTCCCTCGCTGTCTCTCCCTCTCTTCTCTCTCACTCTGCCCTTAAAGTAAAGTAAATAAATAACTTTCCTTTAGGGGCCAGCATTGTGACATAGCCAGTAAAGCCACCACCTGTGACACTGCACCAAATATGCACACTGGTTGAAGTCCCAGCTGCTCCACTTCCAATCCAACTCCCTGATAATGGCCTGGGAAAAGCAGCAGAAGATGGCCCAAGAATGTGGAACTCTGCCACCCACGTGGGAGACCCAGAAGTTGCTGGCTCCTGGCTTCAGCCTAGCCCAGTCCTGGCTGTTGCAGCCATTTGGGGGGTGAACCAGCAGAAGGAAGATCTCTCTCTTTTTTTTTTAAAGATTGATTTATTTATTTGAAAGCCAGAGTTACACAGAGAGAGGAGAGCCAGAGAGAGAGAGAAAGAGAGAGAAAGAGGTGTCTTCCATCTGATGGTTCACTCCCCAATTGTCCACAACGGCTGGAGCTGCGCCAATCCAAAGCCAGGAGCTAGGAACTTCTTCCGGGTCTCCCACTCAGGTGCAGGGGACCAAGAACTTGGGCCATCTTCTGCTTTCCCAGACCATAGCAGAGAGCTGGATCGAAGTAAAGCAGCTGGGTCTCGAACCGGCACCCATATGGGATGCCAGCGCTTCAGGCCAGGGTGTTAACCCACTGCACCACAGCACCGGCCCCGGAAGATCTCTCTTTCTCCATCTCTCTGTCTCTCTTCTCTCTTTCTGTAACTCTAACTTTCAAATAAATAAATAAATCTTCAAGAGAAAAAAAAAAACTTTCCTTTAAAAGGCACCCTGAATTTTCTTTGATGAACACAGAAAACATCTGTGTGTGTGCTTTAACGACACAGAAGCTTTTATTTAACCTATGAGCACCATCAGCACGATGCGCTCACCCAAAGCCGTTGCAGTGATAAAGATTTACCTAGGAGTCAACTCACCTGTGAGTAGAATGGTAAAGTCCCAGCCACAGGCCACCTGCTGGATGGGACAACCAAGGAGGGATTTGCAGGGGGTAAAATAGAGAACATCCTCTGTGTGACCAAGTCCCAGTTGCCCATCTTTGTTCAGGCCACACACAAAAAGGCCTCCTCCATCTACAAAATACAGAGGTGACAGTGGGCACAGAGAAAGCAGCACCACCAGAGCGAGCAAGCATCTGGAGTCACAGACCAATACCTTTTTTTCCACACCAGTTAGCAAGCTATGTATGTTAACATGTGTGGAGCCAAATGACAGATCAACTGCCTCAGATCTAGTATCCAAATGGAAACGCTAAGTCCTGGAGCAGTGGCCCTTCCATCACCAAACTAAGCATCTGCTGGACCAAGAAAAGCCAACATTCATTCAACACGTAAGAATGTGCCAAGTCCTATTCTAAGAACTCTATGTGCAGAGCCAATTTATCCTTTAGACACAGTGTCCACAGCCTACAGTACTTTCAGAAGCTCATGGGAATGAGTTAATTTTAAAATTCTTTTAAAATGAGCAAACATAATGGTAATGCATTTATGATACTAAATCCAAGCTGGCTTATACTCATCTTTATGCCGATACAGATATGAAATAAAATTTTAAAGACTTCTTTTATGAAAGAAGGGGTCTATAAAGACAAAAGTGCCAAGAAGGAAAGTCATAATGCAGCCCCATTAGCTCAGTGATTCTCTTCATCCATTATTATTATCCCTAGGTGACAAATAAGGAAACTGGCATGCAGCGATCACCTGCCCAAGGCCACGCAGCTAATGACTCCCAGAGCACGCAGTTGGATTCCAGAGCTCATGTTCTTAACCAGATGCAACATGCCCTCCTTTGCAACACTGTTGCACTTGTAGCACTTGTTAAGCACTATCCTAGGTGCTCTGAGGGAAGATTAACAGAATAGCAAGGTTCTTATTCTCAAGGACTATTTAACCTATTTTCAAAGACTTCTAACTCACAGATGAAAGTTGCATAGTAATATACGGCATAAAATGGTATATATTGTAACTCTTCCATTAACTTGTCTTGTGACCTCAAGAAACCAGTGTTCCTCTTTAAGCTTCTTTTGTATAAAGGCAGGTGAGGGGTGGAGGGGAATGTGGCCTAAAAGATCTCTGAAGTCCTAGTCCTGAAAATCTAGGATTCTCTAATGGTAATTTGGCTCTTTCTCAAAAACATTTTCCTCTGCAAAATACAGAAGGATGAAAGATGGCAATATAGCATCCCATGAGAAAATGGCTAAACACACACACAAAAAAGGAAAACCAAGAGGCTATGGGCTAATAAGGGAAGTTACCTGTGACAACTGCAGAATGGCCGCCTCCTCCTGTGATCCTCCTGATGCACTTGGATTTACAGAAGTCATTCAGCTGCTGGGGCAAAAGCACATCTTCCTTATGGCCAAGGCCAAGTTGCCCATAGCTATTTGCACCCTATGGATAAGAGAAGTCAAAGATGAAGGAGTATGGGAACCACAACCATCAACATCTATCGACCTGTCTCTATCTCCCTCACCCTGACATTCCTCTCGAATCTCCAACAGATGCGATTCCAGAGGCACATTCTTAGAGGTTGTTGTAAGCGCCCCACATTCAGATGGTGGGTCCGTGCCTAGAATATCCTGATTTCCATGGAGGGAGAGTCCTCAGCATCCACAACTTATCCTGTGATACTCCTCAACCTCCCTTGTGATGCTCCACCCAACTGCCATTGGGAGACAGGGTTCCTTCTGATAAAAACCAACTACCTCGGGAGGCTAAGGAAAGAAAAAAATGAGAGAGAAAGGGGGACACAGTGGGTAGGAAACACTCTGGAGCTGGTTCTTATCCCTTCCCCCCACACCTCGCTGGGAAAATGGAGATGCCTTTCTGTAATCAAAGCTAGGGAAGGATTTGTGTCCTCAGGCAAGGCGCACCATTATCTCAAGGGTTTGCAATGATCTCCAAGGGCTTCTCCAAGTCCAGTGTTGCGTGACTCCAAGAATTCCTGTCAGGAAACAGATTTCCCCTTGATAGGCAAAATGTCTACTGTTGTTATTATATAAAGAAGTCCATAATCCTTAATCTGACACCCTTACAGCCAGAATCAGAATTTCATAATTTAAAAAATAATATGGTGTGTGTGCATATATACACACACACATATGTATATACATACACACACACACATCAAATATACTGCCGCAAGGTCCGGAGGCAGAATCCCATAAGCAAAACAGGAATATTTCTGCAGTAAAAAGTACAAACATAACAAATGGGTAGAGATAACAGTCTTATGTCCAGTAAATTTAGACTTGATGATAAGAGATCGGGGACCTGCAGGGAAAATCATACTAATATTTCAGAAATCTGGGACTGACCTTGTGGCATAGTGGGTAAAACCACTGCCTGCGACACTATTATCCCATATTGGACAGCCAGTTCGAGTCTTGGTTGCTCTGCTTCTGATCTAACTCCCCGCTAATGTGCCTGGGAAGGCAATGGTAGATGGTCTCAGTGTTGGGCCCCTGCCATGAGGCCCAGATGGTGTTCCAGGCTCCTGCCTTTGGCCTGCCCCAGCCCTGGCCATTGAGGGAACAAACTAGTGGACAGAAGATCTCTTTCTCTCTTTCTCCTTTTCAAATAAATTTTTAAAGAAAGGATTTCAGAAATCTTATAATGTCTTCAAGTATCTCCTGGCTGATTCTTCCTAGAAATGAGCAACAAAACTTTTACTATCTTTACTAGCCAGGAGTTCCTGGCTCCTGGCTTCAACCTGACTCAGTCCTGGTTGTTGTGGAGTCAACAGTGGATGGGAAATCATCCTCCCTCCCTCTCCTCTCCCCCCTCACCACCATTCCCCTCCCCCTCCCTCTCTGTGTGTATGTATATGCCTTTCAAATAAATAAAATGGATACATAAAAAGTTAAAATTAAAATATGTTCTTGGGAGTGGACTTGTGGCCCAGTGATTAAGATTCTTGTTGGGACACCCATGTCCCATAACACAGTACCTGGGTTCAAGTCTCAGGGAGGTGAAGTACCTTTCCATTGTTACCTGGTCAGCCCTGAAATCCCTATGGCTGCCCTGTTACCAGGGTTATAGGCAACAGTTAGGATAACCTGCTCCTGTCACTATTCCCAAATGTGTCTCTAAGAAAAAAGAAAAAAGGGGGCCGGCACTGTGACATAGAGAGTAAAGCCGCCACCGCCTGCAGTGCCGGCATCCCACATGGGCGCCAGTTTGAGTCCCAGCTGCTGCACCTCCAATCCAGCTCTCTGCTATGGCCTGGGAAAGAAAGAAATGGCCCAAGTCCTTAGGCCCCTGCACCCGCAAGGGAGACCTGGAAGAAGCTCCTGGCTCCTGGCTTCAGATCAGCGCAGCTCCGGCCATTGCAGCCAATTGGGGAGTGAACCAGCGGATGGAAGACCTCTCTCTCTCTCTTCCTCTCTCTCTCTCTCTCTGCCTCTCATTCTCTCTCTGTGTTAACTCTGACTTAAAAATTTAAAAAAAAAAGGGCATAAAAAGGGCAAATATGGTGAAGCAGTCCAGGTTTTACCTAGTGAGAGACTAACATGACCCTATCTAAAATAGCCCCACTGCGATCACTTTTTCCCTTTTCTAGTTATTTTTTCTTCCCAGCACTCCTTGACATCACACTACATGTTTACTTACTTACTGTCTGCCTCCCTCACTGGAAGGTAAGCTCCGTGCAGGCACAAACTCTGCTCACAGCTACTTCCCCGCATCTGAAAGGGGGCTGGCCCCAGGGAAGAGGTGCATTTGTTTATATGGTAAATGAATATAAGACCTCAGGAGCCCCTACCCAGGAGAGATCAAACGACCGACAAAGGTGTCTGTGTAAAGGCACAGCATTTCTCAGCCAGCCCTGAGATTCCCAAGGCTGCCCCATTCCCAGGGCTGCAGGCTACTGAGGGTGTGATGGAAAAGTGAGACACGGGGCACTCTGGGACTCAAATTATGAAATGCAGCAAGAGATTCTAAATCCAGGATAAAGCAAGACGAAGGAAGAGTTAGGATAACCTATTTAAATGATGTTTGCCTCCCTTCCTTACAAGTATTTCAGTCGTGTCACACACACAGAAACCCAAAATGAGGTAAACCATCTTGTTACGGACTGTACTGGGTGCCCCTAAAATCTGTTTGTTGAAGTTCTAACCTCTACTACCCTGGGATAGGACTGTATCTTGAAAGAGGGCCTCATTAATGAGGTAGTGAAGGTTATAAGGGTGGGGTCCGAATCCAATCAACCGCCAGCCTTCAAAGAAGAGACACAGGGATGCTCAGGCCTCAAGAAGAAGCCACATGAGGAAAACACAGTGGGAAGGTGGCCATCTGGAAGCCAAGAGAGAAGCCCTACGAGAGACCAAGCCCAATGACACCTGGATCTTGGGCTGCTAAGCTCCGGGATTTCTGTGGCTGAAGCCTCCCAGACTGCCATGGATTCTGCAGTAGTCCTAGCAAAGGTACACACCCCCACATAGTGATTATGCAGCAGCAAGAACACACACCATCAGGCCTCCAAGCTCAGCAGCTGGCTGAGTTCTGCAATATTTGCATTGCAGACAAAGCCGGATCTGAAAGGGTTTTTTGTTTGTTTGTTTGTTTGTTTTTTCTGTCGGATGTTTCATTTGTCCACACAGACACCAGCCAGTGTCTCAGGCGCAAACAGCCAGAGACAGCACACATGCGATCCCCAACAGCTGAGTGCCACTCGGCCACTCAGAGGCGCTCAGCCAGCCAGACTGCCTCGGCCACACCATGTGCTCTCTCCCTTCTGCCAAACTTCTGCCTTACGCTCAACAAGTGCCACCTTGGACTGACAACTACTTTGGAAAGACTGGACAATAAACACGGATTCTGACAGCAATATAGGGGTCCCTCCCCCGACACAAATACTGAAGTCTCATTCTTGTGTCTTTGCCAAACACGAGCTGGACACACATTCATTCATTCGTGAACAAATGCTTACTGGGGACATACAAGGGTGCCAGGCCCCAAGCGAGGTCTTGTGAACCAGAGACAGGAACTCCAGTGCGACGCGGACATCCTAGCCAAGGAGCCTGTACAGCTGGGATGCGCCCTATGAGGAGCCACAAGACGTCGCCAGTTCCCATGCACAAAGCTTCCTCGCTCCAGCGCACGTAAAGATGACCCTGCCTCTCCCAATGCACCAAACCAGCGCCACCCGAGCTCCCACGCCCCAGCACAGGCAAGCTCCCATCGCAGCAGAGCATCGGCCAATAAGCAGGGTCTGTGTAGGTCTCACACCCAGAGGATGCTCCAGCTTGGGCTGGGGAAGGGCACCATCGGTCCTCCAGGCCACGGGAGGGCGGGGACACAGGCGGGAGCGGGAGATCCTCTCTCCACCGAGCGCTCCACGCGGTCCTCCTGGGCGCTCCGCGGGGAGGCAGCTCTTCCAGCGACGCCTGAGCGCCTCCGTGCCCGCCCCACCAGCCTGCAGGCCCCGCGAAGACCCATCCCTGCCCGCCATCGCCACAGCCCCAGCCCCAGCCCAGGATACTCTGGCCCAGGGTCCTCCAGCCCAGGGCCCGGCTCGGACTTCTGGCGCCCACACCCCCGCACCGCCCACGCCAAGGCCAGCCGCTCCCGGGTCCGAGCGCCCCTCAGTCCCTGCCCCTGCCCGGGGGCGGAGTCACGTACCCAGGCGAAGAGCGCGGCGGCTGCGGGGGGAGCCTCCGAAGCGCGCGACTCGCGCTCCATGCAGGGAAGCTGTGCCGGCGCTTCCGGGAGGGACGGCGCGGGGGCGGGTCCTCCGGGGCGGAGCCAGCGCCGCGGAGACCCCGGCACTCCCGGAAGCGGGGGCTGGGGGGCCCTGGGTAGCTAGGGGAGGGTGGTCGGGGATGAGTCTGTGGTGGGGAGGCCCCGGCAGCAGCGGGTTGGCTGCAGGAGGAGGGACGAGCGGCCGCGCCCTCGGACCGCCGGGACCTGTCGCGGGCGGAGTCAGACAACCGCGGCGGAGTCCCCGCCCCGGCCTCCCGTCGCTGCCGGCCATTCGGCCTCGCTCCCTACCCTCACCCTCCCCGTTTTTAGCAGTGATTCCTTTCAGATTGCCTGCGCTCGGTAGCTGACACGGGCCCTCCACGGTTTTATCTCGTCGGAATCGCTCAGCCTCCAGAGGGTCTGACGAGGCCGGGACAGGTGTCACCAGTTGCTGCGGGAGGGAATTGAGCCTGAGGCTGTGGGAAGGTTCCTGCCGGTGTCTTGGGGGAACCGTCTCGAGCGTGCGTGGCTATGCATTTGCAAAACCCGAGGGAGCCTTTGGGAGCGAGTGTAGGGTCTCGGGTAGCCGGCATCGCCCGCCGCTCCGGCTCGGGGCGGGAGCTGGGCTGAGGGGCCGCTTCGCGCGCATTCCTGCAGGCGGCTAGCACCTTCGCCCTCTGCGCAGGGGCGCCGCCCTGCCCTAATTCTGATGAGCAACAAGGGGTCCTTTTCCCCCCAACAAAGATTTTCTTGAAGAAATGGCTTCTTGCCAGACACCGGCAGCGCTGCTGGTGGGAGTTCAACAAGTGCGGCACACTCTTCCTGATGGGCAGCGTGGCGATGGGGCCTGGGAAGGCGCCTTAGCCCTGGGAACAGATGGGGGCCCACCGCGGATCCTCACCAGCACCCCGGAGCCCTCGGCCCGACGCTGACCCAGGCCTCCAGTGGCAGCGCCCTTCGTGCCTGCGAGGCCCCGGGGAGGGTCTTAGATGAGCCCTTACGGGGTTCTTTCCTGTTCTTTCCTTCCGTGAATCCTCCGTGATTCTACCACTTGATGGCAGTCCCCTGGGAGCCCTGACATCTTCAGAACGTCCATGACCATGCTGGGAAAAACGCAGAAATCACCCCCCACCCTCCTCACCACCCCCTCCTCTCCCTCATCCCCTCACCCCCTCACGCCCTCAGAAGAGAAGCAAAGCCCCTGGACATTCTGCAGAAACCTTGCGTGCATAAGTACCAGGTACACTGTTTGTGACTAGGCTTTTTGTACCTTTCTCTTTTCAAATTTTTTAATAAACACATTAAATTGTATGTATTTGCCTTGCACGTGATGTGATGACTCCTTTTAAATACATGTAATAGGATGTAAAAAATGGCCGGCGCCGCGGCTCACTAGGCTAATCCTCCGCCTTGTGGCACCAGCACACCGGGTTCTAGTCCCGGTTGCCCCTCTTCCAGGCCAGCTCTCTGCTGTGGCCAGGGAGTGCAGTGGAGGATGGCCCAAGTGCTTGGGCCCTGCACCCCATGGGAGACCAGGAGAAGCACCTGGCTCCTGCCATCGGATCAGCGCGGTGCGCCAGCTGCAGCGCGCAGGCAGCAGCGGCCATTGGAGGGTGAACCAACGGCAAAGGAAGACCTTTCTCTCAGTCTCTCTCTCACTGTCCACTCTGCCTGTAAAAAAAAAAAAAAAAAAAGTAATAGGATGTATAATGGAACCCTTCCCATCTCTTGTCTTGGGAAGTGAGGTGCAAGACCACCGAAGCAGAACTTGCAAAGCAGATGTCTAGAAACCAGCGTGTGACTTCCAGTCGATAAAACAGGCCAGAAATGCTGAGAGGAAATTCTAATAGGGTATGCGGCCATAGTTGTCCATGTGGTGTGAGGCCTTCCCATGCCATGTCTAAGGAAAGGCATTGCAGCAAGGATGTCAGAGAGCTTCGTGTGCATCCCTCCAGACTGGGGCCTGCCTGGGCTGCTGGTCAGTTCAGTCCTTGCTGAGAAATCCAATGACTTGTGGCAGAATGGGGACTCTTGACAGTTGAGAAAAGAGAGACAGATGCTTTGGGAAAGTCTTCAGTGCCCAGAGATTTCCAAAATAAAGAAAATCCAAGTATCTCCAAAATGAATGTTGAAGCAAACTGGGAGACTGAAAGTCTCAGGCCCTTGTCCAAGAGAATTTCTGAAGAGGTGAATGACACCCATGGAAGAATTGACCTCTGGATCCTCAGAGGCTGAGGGCAATGAATTCAGTCAAAGAGGTATATTTATCCACATCAAGAGATCCTGAGAAATAAGGTGAGAAATCTTCCACAGTATCCACAAGAGAATGCAGCCCCAGGAAACACTTACCAAGCACAGAAACCACTGCTGATGCCAGTTCATAGCGGTATCAGACCAAAGAAGATGCTTTCTATCCCTTATCTCTCCTCCCCACCGCCACTCCCCAGCCAAGAAGGGGTCCAAGGCATCCCAGTGAGAGGGAAGAAGGAACAAGAAATGAAGAAGCTAAGCGCACCCCTCCTTTCTCATTTCTACAAGACAAGTGCTTTAACCGTAAAGTTTGAGGTTTTAAATTTTTACACAGGACTAGGATTTTAAATGCTGAAGTGAGAAGTTGTGTGTATGGGTGTGTGAAAGAGAAAGGGAGATATTAGAAAATAAGGATGTTTTCCATTTGTGAGGAAAAAGGTCAAGGCAGCAACCTGAGAGTTCACCCAAAGTTCCCAGGAAGAACTAAACCTATGGAGCCAGTCATCGTGGAATTTTTTTTAAATAATTTTACCCCTTAATGTACATCAATACTTTAACTACAGTTGTGTTATTAAGTTATACCCCTTAATAAAATTTCCTGGAAGTGTTGAGATGTTGCAACTATTTCATCTGTATACATGCCATTGCCTAATTCTTCCTGGGAGCAGTCTGGTTGTGTCACAGTTCTTGAAGAGACTGGATTGAAACTATCTGATGGTGGGGCCGGTGCCATGGCTCACTTGGTTAATCCAAGCAGTAGAAGATGGCCCAAATCCTTGGGCCCCTGCACCCATGTGGGAGACCCGGAAGGAGCTCCTGGCTCCTGGCTGCTTCGGACCGGCACAGCTCCGGCCCTTGCAGCCATCTGGGGCGTGAACCAGCAAATAGAAGACCTCTCTCTCTCTCTCTCTCCCTCTCTCTCTCTCTCTCTCTCTCTCTCTCTCTCTCTCTGCCTCTCCTCTCTCTGTGTAACTCTGACTTTCAAATAAATAAATAAATCTTAAAAAAAAAGAATGAGGGAGAGACAAACGTAGGAGTGCAAGTCTCCCAAAGAAGCAATCCTGTCATACACGCATAGCTTTCTCCTGGGGTTCCTCAAGGACTACAACCTTAGCACAGAGATCAGCTGAAAATAGACCAGCCACCCAAATGACTTAAATTCATCTTCTCATTGGACCGAGATCTTCCCATACATTATGTGTATGCTGCCTGCTAGCAACAGTTAATCCCTCTAGAGGAACATAAAGTCATGAGAAGCTATGGGGGATCTCTGATTGGAAGTGAGATTATATTAAATATTCTTTACACATAGAAAACAATGTTTCTTTTTACAAAGTCCTCTTGCAACATAGTTTCTCCAATAATCCAGGGCAAAATAGACTTATTTTAACAGATGAGGTACGTGAGATTAAGACTTTACCAAGAATTTTAAAAAGCAGTAAGATGCTCCCAGATGTTTGGTTTCTAGTATATCTCATAGCCATTGGCTTTTTAAGAAGTATGAAGATGTGATGGAGTTCTTAAACTAACAAAATTGCTAATATCAATAAAAATCCATTTTAACATGTTTGACAATAACACTCATTGAGAACATGAATTGTATGGTCATTTATTACTCAGTTGAATAACACACTTGCAAATCATAAATGTACATTACATAGTAAAACAAAGCAGACTAAAATAGATCACAGTATCTTTATATTTAGAAATTGAAGTATGGGTTCTATTATATGTTTTTTTTAAATTCTAGTTTTTTTCAATTTGAAATCCAACTTAAAAATTTAACAATAATTCTGTATATGTTGCTGTGTGATTACTACATGTATAACTCCAAATGATGAAATGTAGGCATTCTGACAACTAGGTTTTGAACTTTCTTCAAAGTTAGAATGCCTGTGAGTAATGATATACTGATAAAAAATTATGAACCACATTTTAGTTCAATTTTCTCAGGTTTGGATAAATATTAACAAGCTCCTAGATGCTTTGAAGACATACTTAAAATACATAAGAATTAGAAGATTTCTGACTTACCAAATATCACAAAGGTTAGAAGAAAGTATTGAAATTCATTATTAAATATTTTCATTGTTCTGACATTATGGACTACAGAAATGTATCTTTAACCTTTATTTTGGTGTGCTTTAGTCATATAGTAATTCTCAATACATTACTTTAAAAATTAATAACTGATTCTTCACTATGATCAAAGTTATATGAAAACAGGCCTTATTTGCTGTTATTTGCTACATATTATAAGATTTCCTTGCAAGCACATAGACTAATTATAAACTAGTTAACCAATATTTCAAATGATTTCAGATTAACTAGCAGATCCATTTACTGGCATATGTATACTTAAGAGTTAATTAACTGTTAAAATTTATAAGTAAAGATCTGAAATAGCATGAGTTACACTTCTAAATTCTATTTCCTTGTATAACATAAAATGAAACACATTTTTTTAAAGTTTGTTATAATTTCTTTTCAGGTCTAAAAAGGTTTAAAAGGTCTGGTAGTCTATGAAAACAAAACAAGTTAAGTGGTATACAATTTGACAATTAATGGGGGGGGGCACAGTTTTTAAGTAGCTGGTTAGCCATAGAAAACTGACTGAGAACATGACCCTTGTTATATCATTAACACAAAGAAGCTGCAGGGGTGTAACACTCAGGTGCTCCTAAGTTCTTTTCAGAACTGTCAGATTTGAGATGCTTGGCAGGTCTGGTATGTTGCACAACTTTATTTCATGGTGAGTGGTGTCAGATAAAACTGTACAACACTGGTCTCATTTATGGTAAATCAAGATGGACATATCCAGCAGGCAGTGGGAATTAAGAAGCAAACATTCTAGAAAGATGCCAGGGTGAGAACTACATATATAGGAGTCATCCAAAATAGGAATTGAAATCATGGATGTGGCTGACATTGCCCATGAACGGCAGAGAGAGAAGAGGGCTGAAGATAGAAGATCTTCTTCCTTTAATGGATGGGGCAAGGGGCAGAAGGAGCAAATTAAGAAGACACAAGCATGTATTGGGGAGTTCTGCTTCACTCATATAGAACTACATTGCTGAGGCAAGCATTGTGGTGTAGTGGGTAAAGCTGCCACCTGCAGTGCTGGCATCCAATATGGATGCCGGTTCATGTCCCGGTTGCTCCATTCTGATCCATCTCCCTGCCAATGGCCTGGGAAAAGCAGCGGAAGATGGCCCAGGCAGGTTTGGGCCTCTGCCTGCCACCCATGTAGGAGATCCGGATGAAGCTCCTGGCTCCTGGCTTCAGTCTGGCTCAGCCCTGGCCATTACAGCCATATGGGGAATGAACCAGTGAATGGAAGATCTCTCTCTGTCTCTCCCTCTTTCTCTGTAACTCTGACTTTCAAAATAAATAAATAAATAAATATTTCTTTTAGAAAAATGCTACCCCCATCTTAAAAAGAGAGAAAAAACACTATATTGCTTACTCCCTATGTTTCAGCTGACACCACATAAAAACCAGTCCTTGTAACCCTTTGCATTATTTACAATCTCAATCCTAAACTGCTTTTCCTGACTTTCCAGATCCATTTCCTCCCCTTGTCCCCATCCTCTGCCCTCACTGCTTACCCTGGAGATAAAGTGCTTGGCACTGCTTTTCCAACCTTCACTTTGTGCTTCTCTTATCTCAGTTTGAACCCTCCCTTTGACCACATTACCTCCTGCTAGCCAGAGGATAATCCCATTACAACATCTGGGACTGCATGTGTGAGTACAAGGCTTTCCAGGTGGCACCCATACCAATTTCCTCTTGTACTCAGGAGGAAGACAGATAATCTAGGACAAAGCCAGCATTATATGATGTCATAGAAAGGAAAGTGAGTTTCAAGAAGAATAGTCATTTGGAAAGGGGCCCCCTAAAATTATTAGCCTGAAGGCTTATGCCCCAATCAACCTTTCCAGATAGCTACTCTTATTTTCCTGTAAAATACTACACTTGAAACTAGACTACCAACTCTTTACTAGGTATGCCCTGTGTATAAAGACCTCTATAATTTTGCTCATGCTAGCAGTATAAAACAACTGATCTATCAAGTTGGGTGTGTGAATGTCACTGAGCTTGGCACAAATTCGGTAATAAGTAGCAAATACTTTATAAATAAGGGGATCTCAGGTAACAACATGAGTCAGAGCTCTATAATACTCATAGAGATCTAAATAATCATAAAAGCCATCTTATTCAGGAAGAATTGGAGCAAATAGGCCCAGACTAGTTCCATCCATTGGGTCAAACAATTTACTACTAAAAATGGGTGGTGAGTAAATTGTATGGTATGTGAATTGTATTTCACTAAACCATTACCAAAAACAAAATGATTAGCAGATAAAGTATCCAGGTGCAGTTTTAGCCTAGTGATTCATTAAGAAATGGGATTAGAGAGTATCATTTAGCCAGAAGCGGCTATCCTTCCATGATCAGGTCTCCAAGAAAAGCAGGGCTGGCCCACCAAGGCCTCTGAATCGATGCTCAGACGGTGTCTGAGTTAGGACTGGCAGCCGTCAGACACTCAGCTGCCTGCTGACCTTCCCAAGGGCGTCGCTGACAACGTCAAGATCATGCCGCAGCTCGTTCATGGCATTCGTTATGCTTTTGGCGTCTTTCAGGATCTGAATGCTTCGTGTGTAGGGATTATATTTCACTCCAAAGGGACGCTTAATTGTTTTGGTAAATTCTCTATTTAGGAAAACAAATAAGAGGCCATAAGTTTGTAGGGGGGGAAATGGTGGAAATTAAATAATATTATATATATTTCACACCTTGGGCAAAAGACAAATCTTTATTAGACATGCAGGCAAACAACCAATCTGACTGCTTCACTACACGGCCATGTGCAGAAATCCCCGGGAATCTCCCAGAGTGGAAACTCTAAAGTAATCACGGACATCTCTATTCCAGTATTACTAGGGAAAGATCCTGTAGATGACTTTGTTAATGATTTATTATTGCTTTATATATCTTTTGACTACAATAAAGAGACTAACTTTATCAATAGACAATAGCAGCATGACCCCATAGTAACAGGTCCCTCAGTGACATAACTAAACCTATGTTTACATATACACAAACTCACATATGCAAACACACACACACACACACACACACACACATCCTCAGTGGGCTAAGAATAGTCCTACCTCCTGCATATGTACATTCTTTCTGCTTAGAATGTTTTCCTCTAGCCTCCTCTCAAATGACCTAAATCTTACTCTTGCTCCAAGCATTAAAGTTCTTGCTACTTTATCAAGCCAACATCTGAACCTTGCATTTGGCACCCCTAAGAAAAACCACATTCAGAACCCCTGTGAATAACTGTGCAGCTGAGGACAATTGCACATGATGCGTAGGGACTGAAATCCAGATTGGTTGCCATCCACCTGGCCTACCCAGAGGGCACTCTTCTAATCTGCAAAAAGATGCCTCGTGTGATAGAGAAGGTCCTGCTGGTATTGTTATTTGGTTCTGTGCACAGTCTAATTCCACCACAAAAGTTACATCTCTGGAAGAGAAGGAACATGCCTTCAACTTCAGTCCCTCCTCATCCTTGAATGTGACCTCGTGGCCCCTTCCATCGAATGCTGCATTGTTACTCTGCTTCTGTAGTCCTTTCCTTTCCTATGACCTCTGTCTTTATTCAGGCTTTAATTTTCATCTGAAGTTTGTAAGAGTCTCCTAAAAACTTTCTCTGCCTCCAATAAACTCCTTTCTTAACCATACACTTAGCTGAATAGTTAAAGCACAGCTTTGCCTCATACATATCTCTTACATTTTTCAACCTCCTTATCTTGCTTCATGTCTCTCAGATTGTAATTTGACATATCTAACTACTATGTATCCTTTCTCAAATGACATTAAACCTTACCTGCTCCCCCGACTGGAATTAATTGCTTTTGAATAAAATGCAGAACAATGTTTCATTCGTAAATCTTTTAGACTCTCGTCACTTGCCATGTTGTTAAAAAGTGACTTTGTATGTTTTTTTCCTATTAAACTATAAATTCTGATGACAAGGACCAGGAAGAATATAGATTCTTATATATATAAAGATTAAATATATATATATGAATATAGATTCATATTGATTCAGCATACAGATTCATATTTGCAACCACTTATAATTATATGCAACATACTCTGAGTATCTCTTCTGAAAGAGAGATGTGTTGGCAGAAATCCTCTAGTGGGCTCCTAATTATCTAGCTTCTGTGACATTATCATTATTGAACCTGCCTTTTGCAGAAGAAAATGAGGACATCAGAAAGATATACTTTACCTCATCTTCTCCTTTGCATCTTCAAAGCTTTCAGATACAAAGTAGACATCCTGAAAAGTTGTGATGAGGCATTCTTGTTTGCAGGTAATCTTGGGATCAAAAGGCTTTACTTTGGCATGTCCAGAAAGCACATGCTGGAGAACAAAGAGTCAGTGGATCAGGTAATATCTATTTCCATAACTCATGCAACTGTCATAATTGGCATACCTTTGAAGGACTTACATACGTAATGGCCCCAACCTACAATTCCAAACTTAACTCCTTTAGCTCTAATTAACCCACAATATTTTCCAGAAACACAAATAACTGGCAGTTTCCCACAAATGCTCCCAAGATAATCTCCATGGCTGTATTCTCAGTCTCTTCTCAGTGTAGACGGCACTCAAAGATGTTTATTTGTTCCTGCATTGTAGCAGGTATTTTCTACTCAGCACATTATTCTTATAAATGAGTTATATCCACCACCAGGGGGCAGGCTCCTTGAGAGCAACACAGTACCTTGGACAGTTCCCACTCTCCCTCCACTTTTTTTAAAGTTTTTATTTTTTTGACAGGCAGAGTGGACAGTGAGAGAGAGAGACAGAGAGAAAGGTCTTCCTTTGCCGTTGGTTCACCCTCCAATGGCCGCCGCTGCAGCCGGCGCACCGCGCTGATCCGATGGCAGGAGCCAGGATCCAGGTGCTTTTCCTGGTCTCCCATGGGGTGCAGGGCCCAAGCACCTGGGCCATCCTCCACTGCACTCCCTGGCCATAGCAGAGAGCTGGCCTGGAAGAGGGGCAACCGGGACAGAATCCGGCGCCCCAACCGGGACTAGAACCCGGTGTGCCGGCGCCGCAAGGTGGAGGATTAGCCTATTGAGCCACGGCGCCGGCTTCCCTCCACTTTTTTTTAAAGTTTTTATTTAATGAGTGCATATTTTTGTAGATACAGCTTTAGGAATACAGTGGTTCTTTCCCCCATACCCACCCTCCCCCCCAGATCCAATCCAACCTCCCTCTCCCTCTCCCATCTCCTTCATTATGGTTCATTTTAGTTTGATTTTATATACAAAGGACTAAGCATAGACTTCAACAGTTTGCACCCACATACACACACAACATATAAAGTACAGTTTGGGAACAAAATTTGCAGTCGATTCTCATAGTACAACTCATTATCTCCCTCCACTCTTCCCACTCTTCCCTCCACCCCTTAACTGTTAAGTTCATTCATTCACTGGGTAAATAATAAATCTCAAATAATTCCCTAGAAATTATAAAAGTTGCTGCTAGCATATCATACATAGAGAGTAAACAGCAAGACTTTGTAAGCAAAAGCTTTAAAATACTTTTTATTTACAAGAAATTACATGTTGAGGCTGGCACTGTGGTGTAGTAGGTTAAGCATCCACCTGTGGTGCCAGCATCCCATATGGGCTCAGTTTCAGTCCTAGATGCTCTACTTCCAATCCAGCTCCCTGCTGATAGGCCTGGGAAAGCAGTAGAAGATGGCCCAAGTTCTTGGTCTACATCCCCATGGGAGACCTGGAAGAAGCTCCTGGCTCCTGGCTTTGGATTAGCCCAGCTCTGGCCCTTCTAGCCATTTGGTGAGTGAACCAGCAGATGGAAGATACCTCTCTCTCTCTCTCTCTCTCTCTCTTCTCTCTCTCTCTCTCCCTTTCTCTGTCTGTAACTCTGTCTCTCAAGTAAATAAATCTTTAAAAAAAAGAAATTACATGTCCATCTATATACACATAAACTAAGGTTTTCAAAAAGTTCATGGAAGATGCCTATTATGAAAAAACTATACTAATGATTTCATTTTTGCATAAAAAAGAATATCTTTCAATATCTTTTTGTATTCATTCAGTGAATAATTTAAAACTTGGGAAATAAGAGGAAATGCCTTCAAGCAGTGTTGATCGCTGCCCCCAAGCATTTTCCATAGTAAGCTCTTGTTCAGATACAGAGACCATTTCAGGTTGCATCAGCTATTTTAGGGTGAATATGATTCTGTGCAAAGATTTACCACTCTTACTTTGAGTTCACTGATAGAAGAAAGTAAGCCAGCGCCGAAGACTCGTAACTGTCCATCTTGTTTACATAGACCAAACTCCACAGTGAAAAAGTAGCACTGCAAAAGGACATCAATATGACTTTCACATGCTGAGTTACTCCATTTAAAACACACTTCAACTCTTAGTCACTGACTCAAAGCACAGAATAAATCCCAGCCCGGTTCACAAGTCTCATTTTAAACCAGCACTTCTCAAACTTGTGTTCTGCGGATTCCTACATACAATGACAAATCACTAAGGACTCCAAAGTTCTATTTATCATAGGTTATAGCTAGCTGTATTAACCATGCTGAGAATTTAAGGTTAGAAAATTTTGAAATTGCTACTAACTAATTGTAAAATATAATAAGCTCATCTTATACTAACGTAAATCAAATTTTAGTAAAACAATTATATCTTACACAACAAAAAAGTGAGAAAGGTAGCATTGTTTTACACTGTGAGAAATATAACACTGTGAGAAAGCATAATCATATATAATTATATATCACTGATGTTATTACACTGTAATGTTTAATTAATGACATTATTACAAATCTTTTTAATGTCTGGCTAGACTTTAGCCAATGTCTGGTTAGAACTCAGATGGATTGTTATATCTGCTTCCATATTCAACCTGCTGCAATACTGCTGTTTTAGCTGAAGGAATATGAGGAAAATTCAGCTGCGTACAATTATTAATTGAAAAAGGGTTGACACCACTGCTGCAATGTGGAATCTGAACTGTCTGCTACATTAAAATCCACTTTGCACTTTCAATGGATCCTTTGCAGACACCCTGTGAAAGGCTCTCAGAGACCCCAAGGGTCCCTGAACTGCAGTTGGAGAAGCACTGTTCTAACCACCCAGACTATTTTACATCACCTCCTCCACCCTCACCCTGTGTTCTGGCTTCTTGTTTTTCCCTTGACACACCAAACAGCTCTCTGTCTGTCTTTCCTTGTGTGCCCTCATCCTGACGTGCTCTTCTTTCCTAGACGTATTAAAACATTATTCATTTCCATCATCTGGCCTAGATGTGTCTTTTCTATGAAAACTTCCTTCAAATGGTTTCCTGCATCCCAGAGCATGCACTTCTCATAATTTTTATCTCATTCCAACACAACTGTCAGCTCATGTGGCGTATATAAACTCCTTGAAGAAAGGAACCAAGCCTGACTCATCTTTATAATTTCAGCACAATGTCTTGTACTAAAAAGTCACTTGTCTTGATATGAAAAAAATATTTCAGCATCATTTTTGTGGAACTTAGCATTTTTATTTGAAAATAGAAGATATACAACCTATTGACATTATCATAACCTTGTGTTTTCTCTACCTTGTTCAGTCTCATGCATCCCTTTGTAAATCCTTAAAATTTACATTTAGATTATTTAAATATTATGCGCACAGGAAAATTTCTACTATTTTGTTTTGTAGTTTAAACTTTTAAACTACATCAATATTCATGCATCCCATTCCAATTGAGAATTACAAATCTATAGTTATTTCCAGATTGCTACCGTTGCCAGTTTTTGAACAGCCTCCTCTGAAGCTCCAAGGGAAGCCAGGCCAATTTCTTGGGAGAACTGAGCAAAACTTGGCTCAGCCAAAAGGGGAACGTGACCTAAGAGTTCATGGCAGGTATCCCTGAAACAGAAGAATAAGTTTGTCACACTCTGGTGCTGAGCATAAATGCATAATGAACCATTCACTCAAATCAAAATTCAATTTTAACTTTTTTCTAGTTGATCAGGTGGTTTTGATTTGGTAATAGATCAAAAGGCCAATAATCAGATAAAGAAATGATTTTGACTCAGTATCTTGGCTGCTCACTGACATACACATGTAAGTGCATATCAGATATATTTCAAATGCTCATATCTCCCAAACCAGGTCTCTGTCAAATGTCACCTTCTCAGCAAGGCCTTTGCTGATCACCCTTTGCAAAACAACAATGTCCCACAACACACCTCTATCCCCTTCCCTCTTTCTATTTTTTTTTTCCTTGACAGTCACTACCTTCTTACATAACACACACATGCATTTACTTATTTGGTTATTATACTTATCTCCCAACTAGAACACAAGCTCTATAAAGGCAGGAATTATCATTTTTTTTTTCATTATTATGTTCCCTGTGCTTACAATAGCATCCAGCAGCTAACATGCTGTCAATTACCAGCAACAGTGATAAAGATGAACATGTTGGGGCTGGTGCTGTGGTGCAGCAGGTTAAAGACCCAGCCTGCAGTGCCAGCATCCCATATGGCTGCTTCACTTCCAATCTAGCTCCCTGCTAATGCACCTGGGAAAGCATCAGAGGATGGCCCAAGTCCTTGGGCCCCTGCACCCAAGGGGAGACCTGGAAGAAGCTCCTGGCTCCTGGCTGCGGATTGGCTCAGCTCCAGCCGTTGTGGCCATTTGGGGAGCGAACCAGCAGATGGAAGACCTCTTTATCTCTGTCTCTACCTCTCTCTGTAACTTTATCTTTCAAATAAATATTAAAAAAAGATGAAAGTGTATAGTGCATGCAACACATAATATGTGTCAGGCAGTATTCTAAATGCAATGCTTGACATGTGCTAATTCATTTAATCACACACACACACACACACACGTGATAGGTACCATTATTGTAAATAACCATTTGATGAATGAAGGGCTGAAGGAGAAATACTTACGGCTCTGGGGTATAGAAGGGGTCTGAACTGTGTCTCACATATTGAGTGCAGTGAAAAACTCGAAAGGCTAAACCTGATAAGAAATCTCTTGGTGATAAGTAACCAGCCACAGGACGAATGGAAAAACCTGTGCGCTCTGCAAAGCAAAGGTGAAAACAGAGAAAATCTTACCAGAACAGATGTAGACCATTTTAATTCTGCAAGTGACACCAAGTAACACGATGAGAGGGCATAGAAAGCTAAAATTAAGCATATGTGTACCAGGGGATCTAATAATTTTTAAACACTTACCATAGCCAAGCATCAGCTAGTTCTTTCTAAATTTCAATTTATTTATTATTTGAGAAGCAGAGAGAGAATCAGAGAAATACAAAGAGTCAGAAACAAAGGAAAAGGGAGCTCGAAACCACTGGTTCATTTCCACCGCACCCACCCACCCACCATGCCCACAACAGCTGGGGCTAGGCCAGGCCAACGCCAGGAGCCCAGAATTCAAGCCAGGCTTCCCACGTGAGTGGCAGGGACCCAACCACTTAAGCCACCACCTGCTGCTTCCCGGGGGGGCACATTAGCAGGAAGCTGGAACTGAGAAAAGCCAGGACTTGAACTCAGTTACTCCAATACAGGATACCACTGGCATCTTAAACACTATACCAAACATCTGCTCTGAGCTAGAAGAGCTAAGGGTTTTTCTCCTATTGTGACAACTATAAAACTGAGGTTCTGCAACTCAGTAATGTTCCCAAGGCCATGTAGAGAATGATAAAGAGAATACAAAACTCTAGGCCTCAGGGTTTGATGCAGTAAGACATCACTTGGGATGCCTACATCTCATACCAAAATGCCTATGTTCAAGTCCCAGCTCTGCTCTCCAATTTAGCTTCCTACTAATGCACACCCTGGGAGGCAGCCATGATAACACAGGTAGTCAGGTCCCTCCCACTCACATGGGAGACCTGGCTTGAATTCCTGGCTCCTGGCTTTGGCCTGACCTAGCCCTGGCTGTTGTGGGTATCTGATCTGGGGAGAGAACTAACAGATGAAAGAGCTCTCGCTCGCTCGCTCACTCTCTCTCTTTCAAACAAAGAATAAAAAAAAAAAAAGAACTAAAGTCTCCTCATGCTATACTTTGCTGTCTCCCTAAAGGGTTTAGAATCTTACCTGAACAGTCTTACTTCTTTCTTCTAAAAACTTGCTGACAGAATCTATTAATTTAGGTGAGAGTCATTTGTTTAATCTACACCATTTTAAACCAATACTATCTCTTGTAAAATACTCTGTTTTATCTAAACTGAATGGTGCTTTTCCTAAAGCCAACACTGCAAGCCTACTGGACAAGGAGCCAGCCACGAGGCAGGCTTGGGAGGCCTCCGTGAGTCCCAATCTGGTCCTGAACTTCAAACCATCACAGTTCTGGTATTCCCATGCCATCCAGTTGTTTTCACTTGGATGCTCACACTCTGATGAGCAGAGGACACTGTCCAGAAGAACTTCCCACAGGGATAGAAATGCTCTAAATCTGTGCTGCCCAAAAGGCAACTAGTGGCCACAAGTAGTTACGGAGCATTTGCGATGTCACTAGAGTGATGCAGAGACTAAGATTTTGGTTGAAATTCAGTTTAGTTGTTTAACATATAAAACAACCACATGTCTAGTGGTTATCACATTTGACAGTGAAGTAGCCCCTTCCAACTGATGTTTTGTTTGAACTATCTTGTCATTTTAGTTTCTCTGACACTTGCCTGTAAAACATGTTCTATAACTGGACCCCAAGTGAACAGCTTTCAGCATTGCATCCAAAATATTTCCTCCAACTCTCATGCAAATTGAATTTTACAACAATTTTGGTAGCACATATTTGTCCATATTTGTAAGTCCAGTGAGGTCACGTGTGTTGATCTCTATTAACCTTAATCACTAGTTGTTTTTAATTGTCTGGCTTTTGTAGGAACAACTTAAGAATTGGGGAACTGATCAGCTAACGTAGATTTCTGTTAACAGTCAATGTAAGAAACATAAAACAGTAATTTCAGACTAAAATGGAAATAAACTCTGAGTCAAAAACATTTTCACTAACATTCTAATCTGCTAAGATAGAGAAGGATACATATTTTTCCTAAATATTGTAAACCCTGGAGATGAACCATCACTTCACTTCCTATAATAGCTAGAAAAAACAAAGAGACCTGGACCAAATCAAAGTTCTCCTTTTAGAAGAACCAAATGGAACTAAGCTATCCTTGCCCTCGGTTTATGTCCCTACTAGCACATCATCTTTCTTGGGAAAATATTAGAATCTTGGTGTGGAAAGGAGCTTCAGCGATCGAACGCTCCGACCTTGCCCAAGCTGCTTGGCTGTCCCCTGCCACGGCCCTGACCAGCAGGTGTGCAGCTTTTGCATGAACAGCTCCCAGCTCCCTGGGAGGGAAATGCACCTGGTCATGAGCCTGTTCTGCTTTCAAATGGCTCATTCAACGAGGAAGGCCCTCTCCATTTTCAGCCAGCAACTTTCAGCTTCAATCCAACCATTCTTTACTTTAGGATTCCTCTATCACATAAGATGGCTTTTAAATATTTAAATAAAGCTACAGCATCCTTTAAGTCTCCAGGTTAAACATCCTAAGAGTCCTTCAGTTTCACTTATGTGACATACTTTCAAACCCCCTTATAATCCTGTTCACTTTCCTCTTCTCTTTTCAGTTTAAGATGACTGCTCTTTGAATGTGGTGCTCAGGCCTTGATTGGATATTCCAGGACAGAGGATAGGAAAAGGCTGGCCTTCCATAGACATTATTCCTCTATGAAAACTGTTCTCATGGGGATGGTGTTGTGGCGCAGTGGGCTAAGCCACTGGTTCCAGTCCCAGCTGCTCCACTGCCCATCTAGCTCCCTGCTAATCTGCCTGGGAAAGCAGTAGAAGATGGCCCAAGTGCTTAGACCCCGCACCCATGTGGGAGACCTAGAAAGAGTTCCTGGCTCCTGGCTGCAACCTGAGCCAGCCCCAAAAGTTGCAGACATTTGAGAAGTGAACCAGCAAACAGATCTCTCTGTCTCTCTCTGTCTCTCTGTCATCCTGCCTTTCAAATAAATAAAATAAATATTAAATATGTACATTAAAACAATTAAAAATTTTTAAAAACTGTTGTTATGATCAAACCAGAGATCAATGTTCTCCTTATGAAAAGTTAATTTGCTTGTTACCTTTTAAAAAGTTTGAAATATCTTCCAGCTGTGGGATATTGTCTTCCCGATATCCACAATACTTGGAAAGCAGAGGTAAATTTTTGAGATACTCTCTGCAAGCATGGGTCGGATAGAGTTTGTTGAGCTCCCGGAATACGGTTCCCCAGGTCTTAATCTCCTCTTCCGTGAATTCAACCTTAGGAATGGGGTCTCCACTAATTGAGGTAGAGGGAAGGAGTTATTTTTAAATTAGCTTTCAATAAATAGTAGCACTAATTTTGCTTTCTCTTCACTAAATGAATATAATTTACTCTATTTTATTATCTCAAAGTATACATTATTTTTATGATATACTTACTATTTATAGCTCATAGCCAAGTCTGCAAAGTACTTTCGTCTTTTACGGTAGACATTGTCTTTGAAGCCCTAATAATCAAAGATAAGTTTTTAAATATCCACATAAAAGAATACGCGAAACATTTCCTCAAGCTATTATATTAAAGGACTACATAACAGTTATTATGAACAAGCATTGATTAGAGTTTTATGATCATTTTTATTTTAAACTCAATGCTATATGACAGTTTTATACTCGAGTGGCTACAAAGATAAAAGATACTGTAGCTACAAAGATACCATAGAGGCTGTGAAAATAAAATAAATTGAATAAGGAAAGCACTGCCCTAGTCAAATATGCATGGCTCTTTTCCAAACAGGGTTTGTTTTTTAATCATTTGACTATATCATCAGTTACCTGAAATAGTAATTAAAAATAAAACAGCAATCAATAATATCTGAAATAGTGACAATATAATCTAGCCTTAATCACAAAATACACACATATTCACCATTTGAAGAAATAAGCCATAATAAAAAATAGACATAACAGTAATGTTAAAACTCATGCTAACAAGGGGCCAGCACTGTGGTGCAGCTGGTTAAGCTGCAATGTTGGCTTCTCTTATCAGAGTGCTGGTTCAAATCCTGGCCACCCTGCTTCTGACCCAGCTCTGTGCTGCCTTCCCAGGATGCACCACAATGTCAGCCCACTGGACATTCCATATCAAAGGAACCATACAATATGGGGCTTTTTGTGACTTGCTTCTTCAAGGTTTACCCATGTTGTAGCACATGTACATACGTCATGCCTCTCTACAACACATAATATTCCATTACATGGATATCATATACTTTATCCATTATTCAGTTGGACATTTGGGTTCCTTCTACTTTTTTGCTGTTATGAATAGCACTGCTATGAACATTTGTGTACAGGGATTTATATGGACATATGTTTTCAGTACTCTTAGGAACCTAGGAACCACTGGTGATTTTTAGGAGAGAAGAGGGATAATGGTCATACTGAGGTGTTCGCTCACTCTGAGGACTGTGAGGACAGGTTTGAAGGTGGCAAGGCTGGAGGCAGAGAAACCAGTTAAGGGATGGTAATGGGGTGAGTAAGGAGCAAATCTCAGAAACATCTGGGAAGTGAGAAGCAGCAGGATTTGTTAAGAGATCAGGAAAACTGATGTCCTCACCTTTCCATAAATATGACCCAGAGTTTCTTGCCTCTGAACCTTTGTTCATATTAATCTTTCCTGAATCTTCCTTCCTCTCCGGCTCTTATCTGCTGAAACCTTTTGAGGCCCTTTCTCCGGTCCCTGCAGCTAGAGGTGTTTGCTCTCTTGCGTATATTTCAAAGCAACTGGTTCTAATCACTCAGGGCGCTTTTACGTTTCATCTTGTGCTTATTTCTATGTGTGTGCTTTAGCTTTTCAACTAGTCTGCAAGCTCCTCTAGGGCAAGTACTGCAATTTATTACAATAGTTATTCAAGGAGGTTATAGAATAAATGGACGATGGACTAGTGGCTGTCTAAAGTATTATAAGGTCACAGCCACATAGCCATTAAGTGAGAAAAGCCAGATTAAAGCCCTGGTCTGTGCAACTCCACAACTGCACTTTCTTCTCCTCTCCCCTCCATGAACCTAGAGCCCCATGAGCAAGCTTAAGCCCTGGATTTATGGATTCCCCAACTCTTGCTTGTACTGTACAGCTTCCTAGTTCATCAACTGTCTAATAAACCAATCATGGTGGGCAACATGGGTGGTCTTTATTCCCTGCTCCAAAAACCCATGACCATTTTTAATACAAACTGACTTCAGATACTGTGTTCATTTCATCACAACACTTGGAATAGCTCTTCAGAATAGGGGTGCCAAGTACTGGACAGATGTTTTGGAGCCAATGAAATTAGATGCTTTTCAGGCAGTTTAGTCATAATTCCACCAACATGGGTGTCTACTAAATGCTTCCTGAAATCCACATCAAAACATGGTCCCAGAGGCTGGTGTTGTGTAGCCTGTGAAGTCGCTGCCTGTGATGCCAGCATCCCATATGAGTGCTGGTTCAAGTCCCTCTGCTCCACTTCATAACCAGCTCCCTGCTAATGTGCCTGGGAAAGCAGCAAAGGAAGATCCACATGTCTGGGGCACTGCCACCCACATGGGAGACCCAGATGGAGTTCCTGGCTCCCAACTTGAGCCTGGCCCAGCCCTGGTGGATGTAGCCATTTGGGGAGCGAACCAGCAGATAAAAGATCTCTTTCTCTCCCTCTCCCTCTCTCTGTAATTCTGCCTTCCAAATAAATAAATAAATATTTTTTTAAAATGGTCATGATAGGCCGGCGCCGCGGCTCAATAGGCTAATCCTCCGCCTGCGGCGCCAGCACACGGGTTCTAGTCCCAGTCGGGGCGCCGGATTTTGTCCCGGTTGCTCCTCTTCCTGTCCAGCTCTGTGCTGTGGCCCGGGAGTGCAGTGGAGGATGGCCCAAGTGCTTGGGCCCTGCACCTGCATGGGAGACCAGGAGAAGCACCTGGCTCCGGGCTTTGGATCAGCACGGTGTGCCGGCCGCAGCGGCCATTGTGGGGTGAACCAACGGAAAAGGAAGACCTTTCTCTCTGTCACTCTCTCACTCACTGTCCACTCTGCCTGTCAAAAATAAACAAACAAATAAATAAAATAAAATGGTCATGATAGCCTAGTGATGAAGACACCCACATCCCACACTGGAGTGCCTGGGTTGGACCCCCTGCTCTGGCTGCTAACTCCAGCTTCCTGCCAGCACAGACCCTGGGAGACAGCAGGGATAGCTCGAATAACTGGGTTCCTGCCATCCATGTGGGAGACCTGGATTGTGTTTCTGGCTCCTGGCTCTGGCCTGCATGGATATTTGGCGTGTGAATCACTGGATGGGAGTGCTCTGTGTATGTCTCAAATTTATATATTAAAAAAAAAAGATCCTGTTCAGGAAAAAACACCTTTTCAAGCAATGTTGTTCTTAGAGGCAGGCATTTGGTGCAGCAGTTAAGACACTGGGACATTTGCATCCCATGTTGGAGCTCCTGGTTCAAGTTCAGGCACCACTTCTGCCTCTGCCTTTCTGCTAATGTGCACCCTGTAAGGCTGCTGTGATGGCTCATTCATGTGGGAAACCTGGATTGAGTTCCAGGCTTCTGGCTTCAGTCTGACCTTGTCCCAGATATTGGAGGCATTTAGCAAGTGAACCACTAGAATGGAGATTTCACTCTCTCTCTCCCTCACTTTCTCTCTACCCTTCCTGCCTCTGTCTTTCAAATAAATAAAAATAAGTAAATAATTTTTAAGTTGCCCTTAATTTTCATTTGTTTTACATTATTTTCATGGAAATAGTCATTAAAAAATATTTACAGGGTGGTCTGCATCTAGCTCAGATCCATACATCAGAACTCGGTTAGCACAATGGTCCAGGTCTGAAATCTTCTTTGGAAACCAAGGAACACTCTCCATGCCTGAAAAACACAAAAACCGCTGAAACTGGAAAAGATGATCTTAAATAAGGCAATGGGGAGACAAAATTAAGAAATACATGCATTTGGATGAGACTTTTAATTTTAGCATGTATACTGAAAACCTAAGAAGTAAATTGTATTCAAAATTTTTAAGCTATAAAACCTTTTTATGGTCTTCAGGTTGATTTCTTAATTACTGGAGAAATACTGTAGGCTAATAACAGATCAAAAGTAAGAAAAAATTGTAAGCCACATATTTATCTACAAAAGCAGAATAAGGAAGTAAAGTGTGTTTACAGATCAACGTGTAGATTTAATAAGCACTTTGAATTTTTATTTTTGCTGTTGAAAAGGATCTTAGAAATCATTAATGTCTTTGTTGCTGTGATCTGACACCAGTCTCATTCTCTGGGCCCTCATAAGACCTGGGGTTTTTGCAAACGCTGTTCCTCTGCCTAGAATACATATTGCGCTCCCACTCCCCACCCCACATCACCCCGCTGGCTTCCTGAGAACATCCAGACCTAAATATAATGAGAGCTCTTCATTCCAGAAAGCCTTCCTGGATGTTGTAGGTGGACTCCTTGTCCTCTGACTTCTGGAGACACACTGCTTCCAATCTTCCCTGTGCTTTTATTATGTTCTATTACAATGCATCTGTTTGTCTTACAGAAAGCACTGGAACAACTGTAAGGTAGGAACTATAATTTTTGAAGCTACTTTGCTTAGTAGAAATATCTGGCCCAAGTTGGTATACCCTAAATATCAACTGAACCATTTAGCCATCTAGAAAGCTCCTCATTTTATAGATGAAATAACAAAAATCCAGCAAGGAAAAGTAATTTGCCAAGGTAACTAATTTCTAGTGGAAAAGAGAGGAGGGCTAGAATGCAATCCTTCTTGTTCCCGTGTACCACTCTTTCTAATGTACCTAAGAGTCATAATCAAGATTTAACCTCAAATACAACCTGGATACCAATCACTCAAAATAGACACCAGTGGAGCTCTAGGCCCCTGCTCTGCCAGGTGTTAACCCTTTAGTTGTGACTGGTGGGCACAGGGACTATGAGGAGCTTCTCTAGCAACAGAAGTGGGAGAGGAAACTGGAATAAATACTGTACATAGCGAATTTCACATTACAGTTCTCAGCAGCTGTCAACTTTTTCAAAAAATTTAAAATATTCATTTAGCTAGATGCTAAACTCGGTGAGCATTACTAAGAGCTCAGAGGTTGTGAACTGGTGGTTTGTGGAATCAAGAGATACTTGGTGATTAGAAAATTAAGATATAACAATCTATTTCTAAACATTCTGAGTTCTTTCTTTTTAAAAAAAAATTTATTTATTTGAAAGTCAGCGTTACATAGAGAGAGAAGGAGAAGCAGAGAGGTGGGGGTCTTCCATCCACTAGTTCACTTCCCAGTTGGCTGCAACAGCTGGAGCTGAGCCAATCCAAAGCCAGGAGACAGAAGCTTCTTCTGGGTCTCCCATGTGAGTTCAGGGGCCCAAAGACTTGGGCCATTCTCTACTGCTTTCCCAGGCCATAGCAGAGAGCTGGATCTGAAGTGAAGCAGCCGGGATTCAAACCAGCACCCGTATGGAATGCTGGCACTGCAGGTGATGGCTTTACCTGTTCCACCACAGCGCCAGCCCCTGAATTCTTTCTTATGCTCAAAATTTCCTTTTCATTTCTCCCACATTTGATCAAACAGTGTTTTATAATTTTTTCTTAGCAATTACATTTTTAACAATTACATTTTGTGTCACTTCATTACAAGACTATAAGCAATTTGTACAGATTTTTATTTTTACTCTCATGTCTTCAAAATGGGTAAGACTGGACATACACCAGACACCTAATTTTCTAAGTAATACTTTCACATTTCAAACTTACCTTCTTCCTTCATAGTAAAATTATCTGGTGGAGTCACAGAAAGAACATTGGTATGAGACTTCAGAAGATGAAAAATATCATTCAATTGTTCTCTGTTGGTATCACAGTCAACAAAAATCTCAAATTCTGAGTTTCTTCTCTTAGATTTTCGGGACTCAATATGTAACAGGTTCACATGTTTCTCCTGTGTAAAGCAGAGAGTAAACAGCTCCTGTAACTGTCTCCAGTGTTAGTAATCTTCGAGCAGATTACATTCATTACTGCTAAATATCAATCTCACATTGGTCATAGTAGCCACAGGTGAAAAGGCTGTTTTAGTGTGGTAACAGCAAACTAATTCCCCCTTAGCTATTATGTACTACTCAAAAAAGTTTGCAAAATGCACCATACTCTCAAGAAACTAATAAGATAACACCCATTAGAGGTTCTTCAGATTGTCAGAATTAATTGGTATTCAAGTAAAAATACCAAATCTCCTCAATACAAAGAATCTTTTGAAATTTCTCACAAATAAAAACCAGTTTCAAATTAATGCTGGTTCTTGAAAAAGAAAAGTTTCTTTTAAAAATGCAATTAGGCCAGCGCCATGGCTCAATAGGCTAATCCTCCGCCTTGCGGCGCCGGCACACCGGGTTCTAGTCCCGGTCGGGGCGCCGGATTCTGTCCTGGTTGCCCCTCTTCCAGGCCAGCTCTCTAATATGGCCCGGGAGTGCAGTGGAGGATGGCCCAAGTGCTTGGGCCCTGCACCCGCATGGGAGACCAGGAAAAAGCACCTGGCTCCTGGCTTCGGATCAGTGCGATGCGCCAGCCGCGGCAGCCATTGGAGGGTGAACCAATGGCAAAAAGGAAGACCTTTCTCTCTGTCTCTCTCTCTCTCTCACTGTCCACTCTGCCTGTCAAAAATAAATAAATAAATAAATAAATGCATTTAATAGGGGCTGGTTCTGTGGCGCAGTAGGTTAATTCTCCGCCTGCGGCGCCAGCATCCCATATGGGCACCTGCTCTAGTCCCAGCTGCCCCTCTTCTGATCCAGCTCTCTGCTATGGCCTGGGAAAGCAGTAGAAGATGGCCCAAGAGCTTGGGCCCCTGCATCCGCATGGGAGACCAGGAAGAAACACCTGGCTCCTGACTTTGGATTGGCACAGCTCCAGCTGTTGAGGCCATCTGGGGAGTGAACCAATGGAAGGAAGACCTTTCTCACTGTCTCTCCCTCTCACTGTCTGTAATTCCACCTCTCAAATAAATAAAAATCTTTTTAAAAATGCATTTAATAAAACTAGGGGAACGCCTTAGACAGAGTTTAATGCCTAAAATCTCATAAGCCACAAACTTAGTAACCAGCTGAATTAGATAGCTTTTTTCCCTTAAGATTAATTTATTATTTGTATGAAATGCATAGTTAGAGAGAGAGAGAGATCTTCCATCCACTGGTTCACTCCCCATATGGCTACAATGACCAGGGCTGGGCCAGGCCAAAGCCAGGGGCCTGGAACTCCAACTAGATCTCCCATGTGGGTGGCAGGGCCCCAGATACTTCCCAGGTGCATTAGCACAGAGCCATAGAGGAAGTGGAGCAACCAGGACTGAAACTGGTTCTCATATGAGATGCAGGGTTGCAGGCAGCAGCTCTCCCCACACCAGCCCCCCAAATTGCTTCTTCTGATGTCTCCCCATACCAGCCTGAGCTGTGGGTCCCATGATATAATCCTGAGGGGAAGGGTATCATCTCCTACCAATCTGGGTAGCTGAGGAAAGCACTGAAGACAACATTGAACCATGAGAACCAAACACACAATGAGCAAATGATCTCCAAAGCTAACAGTTTATCCTAAAATAACTTAGTGAACACTTGTGTAGTCAGGTAAGGACTGTGAAGAATGCAAAGAAGGGTAAGACTCATACACACCAGGGGTCTTCCAAAAAGTTCAATCAAATACATATTATAAAAACAACTATACATGAGCTTAAATTTTTTGCAACAAAATAAACTTACCTTTTAATCATTTTTCCATAAGCTTTCTGATGTTACCCACATACAAGGACTTTACAATCTAATTGACCAATACACGAATGACAAACAGAAAATTCAAAAAGTGAGTGTCCAGGTGCAGATATGTTGTAAAGGAAAAAACCATTATGAGTTTAAAAAGTGAAGGTTTTGTGGAGTAAAGGGGGAATGAAATGAATCTTAAAGAATGGGCAGAACAGGAAGATGGAAGGGAAGAAGAAGGGATTCCAAATCAAAGGAAATGTACAAGCTAACGCACCAATGACAATAGAATTATTAGGTGACATGAACCACACAAGAAAGAATAGTGAGTGTTAGAGGATGCCAGGAAATTAGAATAGGGTTTATCTTGTGGAAGAGAGAATTTATCATAGAACTAATAGGAGGAAGCCAGTTACAAAATACACTGCAGGGGCCAGTGCTGTGGTGTAGCAGGTAAAGCCACTGCCTGCAGTGTTGGCTTCCCATATGGGTACTAGTTCGAGTCCCAGCTGCTCCACCTCTGATCTAGATCCCTGCTAATGTGCCTGAGAAAGCAGTGGAAGATGGTCCAAGTCCTTGGAGCCCTGCATCCACGTGGGTGACCAGGAAGAAGCTCCAGGCTCCTGGCTTCAGATCAGCTCAGTTCTGGCCATTGCAACAATTTGAGGAGTGAACCAGCAGACAAAAGATGTCTCTCTCTCTCTCTCTGCCTCTGCCTCTCTGTAACTGCCTTTCAAACAAATCAATCTTTAAAAAAAGAAGAAAATTGATAATAATAATAAAAAGGTAAGATTTTTAAAATAGATAGATAGATAGGGCTGGTGCTGTGGCATTGCAGGTAAAGCCGCTGACTGCAGTTCTGGCATCCCATATGGGTGCCAGTTCGATTCCCAGCTGCTCCACTTCCAATCCAGCTCTCTAGTATGGACTGGGAGAGCAGTAGAAGGTGGTCTGAGTCCTTGGGCCCCTGCACCCACATGAGAGACCAGAAGGAAGCTCCTGGCTCCTGGCTTTGGATCTGTACAGCTCCAGCTGTTGTGGCCATCTGGGGAGTGAACCAGCAGATGGATAACTGACCTCTCCTCTCTCTCTCTCTCTTCCTCTCTCCTTCTCTCTTTATCTCTGCCTTTCAAATACATAATAAATGAGTAATTAACAAATTAATTTTTTAAAATAACTAGAATTTTTTTAAAAAAGTGGAGCACCAGGGACTCAAATTAGCACCCATATGGGATTCCAGCACTGCAGGCGGCAGCCCAACCCATTGTGCCACAGCACTGGCCCCAGTGATATGTGATTAGGTATATCATTAAATAATATTTAAAGTTTAACATTTTATTTAATTAAAATTCAATACTCTGAAATCTATGACATGCATCTTTCCCTGTTTCCCACGAGCTATTTGTATCTGCTCTTCCATAAATTGTATCTCTCACCCATTTATTAGAATTGATCAATATTTTAGAAACTTAAGTTCTTCAGAATTTTCTGTAGCCCATCTATGAAAAATTTACAATAATTTATGTTTTAAATGTAAACTTAGAAACTCATTTTCAGAAGAGCTTGTGCACAAATATGGAGAGTGCTTACCTGGAAGATTTTCAGTGCTTTTATAAGTCCTCCAACTTCATTCTTTAAGGAAAAAATGAGAGTTGCTCTTCCTCTTTCCAAAGAATGGTCTTTGTTCTCTTTATTATCTTCAATCATGATGACTTTGGAGTAATTCTCTAAAACTAAAGTATGAAACTATAGATGACAGGCTAAAAAAGAAGTTGCACAGTATGGAAAATATTTAATAACCAAAGGTACATTAATTTACCAAGCTTCACTTTCCTGAAAGCTTAAAACTTAATAGTCAAAAACGTAAAACTCAGATAGATAAGCTTTGCAAAACAATGAGACTAAATAAGATAGCGCTTTCCTCCCATCATGCCTAGAATAAACAGTAGCTGTACTACTAGTTTCCTTTTCTTTTTTTCTAAACCCATCCTTCTTTCAGGACGTGACTCAGCCCACTAGGTCCTTGCAGTCTCCCTGATGAGTATAGCTTGATACTGGGTGCTCTTCCCCCATGAAGTCCTACCCCCTTCACCCACAATTTTTTTTTTTTTTTTTTTTGACAGGCAGAGTGGATAGTGAGAGAGAGACAGAGAGAAAGGTCTTCCTTTGCCGTTGGTTCACCCTCCAATGGCTGCCGCGGCCGGCGTGCTGCGGCCAGCGCACCGCGCTGATCCGATGGCAGGAGCCAGGTACTTCTCCTGGTCTCCCATGGGGTGCAGGGCCCAAGGACTTGGGCCATCCTCCACTGCACTCCCGGGTCACCCACAATTTTAGCACTCTGTTATACTACATCCTGAATGGCTTCCCCAAATGTTTTATCCGTATCTGTCTTGACTTGGAACGGGGCAGCATCTTTAGAGCAAAAGCAAGCCCTTCTGCTTACTTTGCAGACTCAAAGCCTAGCCAGCTCTGAGCACATGTGGACCAGGTGGGTAAATATTAGCCAGGAGAATTCTGGTTCCACTCTCTGCCCATAGAATTCCTTGTCCATGGGTCCTGAATCTTTTTCAGTATTGGCCTACAAGTACTACCTGTACGTGTGTTGGAGGTGAGGATATTGTGGGTGTATAGTAGGATAGGATATCTTTTCATTGGTGGCTGTCAGCTGATTCACATTTGAGAAATAAGATTTGGCGTAATCAATGAAAACAGCATTTAAGAATGTATTCTGAATCATTTTCCTTTGGTTATTGAGCCAAGTTCCATATTGTAGTTCTAGTGGAATTAACTTATAACAATTCAAAATGATATGACTGATTCCACTGTCTTTCACTTGCTCTCACTGATTGATCCAAGCCCATGGCAACCACTCAGAACAGATACAGTGGTGACTGTGGGCTTGGAGCCAGAGAGACTCTGTTCCAGCCTACCACAGCTCAACACTTCACTCCCTGGTGGAAGCCTTCCCTGCCCTCCCAGGTCAACCCTTTACTCTCGGTTATCATAGAACCATATACCTCCCATGGGGCCGGCGCCGTGGCTCACTTGGTTAATCCTCCGCCTGTGGCGCCGGCATTCCATATGGGTGCCGGGTTCTAGTCCCGGTTGCTCCCATTCCAGTCCAGTTCTCTGCTGTGGCCCGGGAGGGCAGTGGAGGATGGCCCAGGTGCTTGGGCCCCTGCACCTGCATGGGAGACCAGAAAGAAGCACCTGGCTCCTGGCTTTGGATCGGCGTAGAGCCGGCCATAGAGGCCATTTGGGGAGTGAACCAATGGAAGGAAGACCTTTCTCTCTGTATCTCTCTCTCTCTGTCTATAACTCTGCCTGTCAAATAAAAAAAAAAAAGAAAGAAAGAAAAGAAAAAGAACCATATACCTCCCATTCACAACAATAGTCACAGCTGCAGTTGTGACTTTGCCTCAGTGAACATTTGGTTATGTCTGTCTCTTAACTAGACTGTGAACTCCACAGGGGCAGAGATCACATTATTATTATTATTATTATTATTATTACTATTACTATTATTACTATTATTTTTTTTTACAGGCAGAGTGGACAGTGAGAGAGAGAGACAGAGAGAAAGGTCTTCCTTTTGCCGTTGGTTCACCCTCCAATGGCCGCCGCGGAAGGCAGGAGCCAGGTGCTTCTCCTGGTCTCCCATGGGGTGCAGGGCCCAAGCACCTGGGCCATCCTCCACTGCCTTCCTGGGCCACAGCAGAGAGCTGGACTGGAAGAGGGGCAACCGGGACAGAATCCGGCGCCCCGACCGGGACTAGAACCCGGTGTGCCGGCGCCGCTAGGCGGAGGATTAGCCTATTGAGCCGCGGCGCCGGCCTATTATTACTATTATTAACAAGTGAAGCAGCCGGGACTTGAACTGGCACCCACAGAAGACGTTGGAGCTGCAGATGGCAGCTTGACCTGCTGCACCACAGCGTCAGCCCCCAGGGATCATATTACTTTAACTCACCATTTGTATGCTCAGCATCTTCATAGTCCCTAAACATAATAACACTGTATAGATGACACTAAATGAATAAATAAGTTAAAATGCATTAAATATATGATTCCCATCCTCAGGGAACTGAGATTCTGATAAGGAGAGCATGACAATGCAAAAGGGTAAAAACTGTCAGGAGAACAGATGGTATCATGACAGCGGTAACTAGATTAATTATTCTGTCCTGTTCAGAGAGGCTTCCCTGAAGACGTGCTTTAACACGATCTTAAAGAAAAAGGAGGTGATGGGAAGGAGTAGATGTGGAGGTGAAAGAAAAGATGAGGAAGCAACCAACCACTACAGAGCAGTGAGAGGCCAGGTGGGCCAGGTAAGCAAGGACAGACCCTTCAAAAGCTTCCACCCAGACAGTGCAGGGGCATTCGGACTTGATCTCCTATGCCCACCCAAATGCCAGTCTGAGCATCATGTCACGGCCAGTCTGACCCAAGGTTAAGTCAGAAAAATAAGGCAAGGTAGTTTTCCACTAAGCTAAAGTGGAAAAACTTCTCCATATTTTGTCAAGTTCACAAAACCACTTAGATTGTTTGAGTTGTGCCAATTTATTCTCTAGAATTAAAAGTCATGGGGTGATGCAAGATGAGGGTGTTGTTCATTTCTCTGTCTGATCAGAAAGCTCTTGCAAGCTTTCCTCTTTCTCCATATATACTCTTCCTTAATCCATACTATGTAACATTTTGGGGCCCCTTATAAGATAGATGACAGTCCTGAACAGTGCCCCCTGACTTGAAAGAGGGTATAAAGTACCAAAATGGCTCATAGTTATTTTCTTTTCTTTTCTTTTTTTTTTTTTGACAGGTAGAGTTATAGACAGTGAGAGAGAGAGACAGAGAGAAAGGTCTTCCTTTTCCGTTGGTTCACCCCCCAAATGGCCACTACGGCCAGTGTGCTGCTGCCGGTGCACCGTGCCAATCCGAAGCCAGGACCCAGGTGCTTCTCCTGGTCTCCCATGCAGGTGCAGGGCCCAAGCACTTGGGTCATCCTCCTTTCCTGGGCCACAGCAGAGAGCTGGACTGGAAGAGGAGCAACCAGGACAGAATCTGGTGCCCCAACTGGGACTAGAACCCGGTGTGCCGGCGCCGCAGGTGGAGGATTAGCCAAGTGAGCTGGCACAGTTACTTTCTATATGGTCATAAGCAATAACCAGATACTAAACGTACCTGCTGAATTTTCTGCTTCAGCATTCAGTCTTTCTGATACTTTTGGAATTTATTTTATCAATTATTTATCAGGCATGTACTATTGGAAGGGCTTCTGTGTATAAGTTCAAAGAGTATGGAGACAAGGAAAAAATAATTCTTCTCTCTACTGACAAGACTTGTCCACTCTTAAGAACCCAAGAAGTAGGTAAGGGAATTATATAAAATGTCTGTAATGCACTAATATTATCCCATTTAATTCCCATAAGCCTTTGGGGGAGGAGATAGGAATTATATCTATTTTGTAAAAGAGAAAACTGAAGCTTACAGAAGCTAACCAGCCTGTCCATGGTCACACAGCTAGAGAATGGGAGCACACACATTTAAAACTGGGCCTGTGCAAATGTGAATGGCAGCATAGGGATCTGATTTCTCCAAGGTTATCTTGAAAATGTTGAGAGAAGCAGAAGATAGAAAAAAAAAAAGTGGCTTCTATTTAGAAATTGTCTTCTACTTTGACATCTTGTCATTACCTATTTACACTGCAAAACAGTGTAAGGAGACATGTGGATTGTAAAACTAGACGTGTGTAACCACTGAGCTGAGGTTTATTAGTTACGACCTCAGGATGCTACACAATCTTTTGAATATAGCTAAGTTCTCAAACAGCTAACATGAATTCACAAATTCCAAAACTCTTACACATTCTAAATGTCAGAATATGATGTGGTGTTCTGAAAAAAGAGACTGAGATATATGATTCAAATTTTAACAAATATCAATTTATTGTGCTTAAGTCTCCAAAATGCTTAGATATTTTTAGTTGTGCCAATTTATTCTCTCAAATTAAAATAATCTCAATTTCAAATGCCTGGAAACTAAGTGGCCAGTAAATTTAATAATAGTGTGGGTTTTTCTGTGATTCAAATGATTACAAATGGTATGAGGAGGCATTTGGCACAACGATTAACATACCATTAGGGAGTGGGCATTGTAGGGCAGCAGTTTAAGCCACCACCTGGGACGCCTGAGATTGAGTCCCTCTGTGCTTTGGATCCAGCTTCCTGATAATGAGCACCTGGGAGGCAGCAGGTGCTGGCTCAAGTACTTGGGTCTCTGCCACCAGCCTGGGAGACCTGGACTGAATTCCCAGCTCCTGGCTCCAGCCGAGCCCAATCCCAGCTGTTGGAGGCATTTGAGGAGTGAAGCAGTAGATGGGATCTCTCTCTCTCTCTTTCAAGTAAATACATAAATTTTTAAAAAATGATTACTAATTGTAGAAGTAATGAAATTTCAACCCAAGCACAATGACATACGTAAAGCACCATAGACAGTGTTAGGACAGCAAAGATTTAAAGACAGCTTGCTTCTAAAGAGCTCACATACTTGGGGATGGGCAAGGAAGACAGGGGAACACACTTTCCATTAAGTGAAACTCAGGAGAAGAGAAGGGTCCCTGCAATCCCAGCTCTGGGATGGCTGAGTACCCCTACTCACTTCCCCTACCCCCAAGATCATTATCTTGTGAGATTAACTGAAGAAGCCTCCGACATATCCTCAAGCCTCTGCTGAGAAAGGATTTATGGATGAGAAGCAAGATACATTACAAATGAGTTGCAGATTCAAAGGAATTGACTATTTCTTAAGGTAAACTTAAGAATATGCAGGGAAGGGCCCGGCGCCATGGCTCACTTGGTTAATCCTCCGCCTGTGGCGCCAGCACCCCAGATGGGCACTGGGTTCTCGTCCCGGCTGCTCCTCTTCCAATCCAGCTCTCTGCTATGGCCCAGGAGGGCAGTGGAGGATGGCCCGAGTGCTTGGGCCCCTGCACCCGCATGGGAGACCAGGGAGACCTGGCTCCTGGCTTTGGATCGGCGCAGTGCTGGCCGTAGCAGCCATTTGGGGGGTGAACCAACGGAAGGAAAATCTTTCTCTCTGTCTCTCTCTCTGTCTGTAACTCTACCTGTCAAATAAATAAATGAATAAATCTTAAAAAAAAAAAAAAGATTATGCAGGGAATTCTAGATGGTGGCTCTGGAGCTGACGTCAGTGATGGTCTCACCTGTGCATTCTCAAAATGCTTTTAAAGATGGGGAAACTTTTGGCAACATTTCTTGTGTGTGTGGACTTTTTTTTTTCAAACACAATATGGGTTACCCTGTCCTATAGAAGCAGATGCAAACAATAAGAGACACAAAATAAATGTAAATAAATCCATCTAGGCAAGTTATAATATTTATGTGCATCAACTTCTTTTTTGTGAATTTGGAGGAAGAATAATGAACACCTATTTCATGGTTCTATGAGATTAAATATATATCATACATGGTTGTGAGAAGGATTAATGGAATATAATATATATGAAACTTAGATCAATTGCAGATCTACACTAAGTACTCAATCAATATTTTTTCTAATATTGGTGAATGCATCCCACATTTTCTAGTCTTCAAAAAGGAGAAAATGGGGGCCAGTGGCGTGGCTCACTTGGCTAGTCCTCTGCCTGCGGCACTGGCATCCAATATGGTTCTAGTCCCGGTTGCTCCTCTTCCAGTCCAGCTCTCCACTGTGGCCCGGGAGTGCAGTGGAGGATGGCCCAAGTGCTTGGGCCCCGTACCCGCATGGGAGACCAGGAAGAGGCACCTGGCTCCTGGCTTCGGACCAGTGCAGCGCCAGCCATAGCGGTCATTTGGGGTTCATCCTTTTTTAATATAAGTAAACAAACTGGGAGCTAGGCTCAGAAAATGGCAAAGAAAAGGGATTTAGGGAAGTCAGTGGTAGCATTGACAAAACTCTAAGTTTCCTGGCAGTTTGCCCTTCAACAATCTTAGAGTTTAGAAAAGAAATTATTAATTATAAAACTGTATAAGGATTTCCTTTCAAGTTTCAAAACTGGCCCTTGGGCTCCCCTGGAAATGTCAATGTGTAAATATACTAACAGTCATGGCTGACCTAACTCAAACCCTTTGAGGTTCATAAATCTCATTTCTTTTCCTGATCCAAGAATGGATCAAGTTTTTCCACCAGCATTTCCTTAGTGGGTGCAGGCAGACATCAGTGAAGGATACGTTAACTGAACATTTATGATATGGAAGGCATTTTATGTTTTTATTTATTTAGAGATATGAATTATATTAAGATTTGGACACCTACCTATTCTTGTTTAAGGCAAGATAAGAGTGAAGGTTCTCAAAAGGAACCTTTTCTAAGAAACTGGAAGAGGGGCCAGCACTGTGGCACAGCGGGTTAACACCCTGGCCTGAAGCACCGGCATCCCATATGGGCGCCGGTTCTAGTCCTGGCTGCTCCTCTTCCGATCCAGCTCTCTGCTATGGCCTGGGAAAGCAGTGGAAGATGGCCCAAGTCCTTGGGCCCCTACACCTGCATGGGAGACCTGGAAGAAGCTCCTGGCTCCTGGCTTCGGATTGGCGCAGCTCTGGCTGTTGCGGCCATCTGGGAAGTGAACCAGTGGATGGAAGACCTCTCTCCGCAACTCTGTCTTTCAAATAAATAAAAATAAATCTTTAAAAAAAAAAAAGAAACTGGAAGAAAATTTCCCCCCTCTTCTCCCTCCCCCACCCCCATAAGCTTACAGGTAGGGCTTTGATTTTTACTAAAGTTTGGCTGAAACTGCCTGGCTGACAGTTTATGAGGCATCAGTTCTTTTTTTCCCCTTCACTGAACTTCTCTAAACCTCTTTCACCGACCTCAGTATCTTCCTGGGCTCCTTGTTAGTCTTTCCTGCCATGTTCAGCCTACCTACCCTCCCTTACTCCTTCACAGAAAACCTAGTGAGATAAAAGGCCGTAAAATGACCACGGATCACACTTGTTTGAATCCATGTCTCATCAAGATTCATTTGTTTTCTTCTTACAGCAGCACTGATGAGCCAATGTGAACTGGTACCCTTTTCTCATGAAATGAAATGAAGGCTGTCATTCTCCCACCCCTTCAGGTGGGTGTGCAGAGCTGGCCAGGGGGATAAGGAAGACACTCTGAGAAGGCGGCAGAAGACCCATGGCTGCATGGGAGAGTTGAGGATGGGGTGCGGGGTGTTTACAGTGACCAATTCCTCTCTCCCCTCAGTTTAACCAATAACAAGTGTGATTCAAGTTTATCTGACCCAGAAGCATAAAGCACTATGAGATTCCAGTCCTTTGAAAGCACGGATGCTGCTTGCGGACAGAACCACGAGCTGCTCGAGGACTGGTTCAGAGGGAGACAATCTTCTAGAGAGGCTTGGTTTTCCTGCCTAACAGGAGTAGCGGTGGGGAGGGGATGGGAATGAGGATAAAAGTGGAGATGAAACACAAAACAAAACACTGCCTTTGAAAAAAACGGTATTCTAGGAAGCCAAAGCCATAGCAGACACAACGGAAACGGAAGACACATTCCAACCGGAAGATAAGTTAATAACGGTAAAAACCTATGCACAAATGAGCTCCAGTGACCAAATTCGGGAGCGACAGAGATCATGTTTACAGAAACTTACACCCAGAATATCACTGCGAAAGGCACAAACTTTCACTGGGTTAGAAAGTTCAACCTTGGTCTTTTCTCCCCCCCAAGGCAACTAGCATAAACACCTATGAGCTCATTTGAAACCTCTGAAAAACCCGTTAAAGGCGAAGCGAAGCT